AAGTGCAAGGTCCCAAGTTCAATCCCCGGTACCATTAACAAATTCAATAAAGAGTAAATTTATGGGAGAGAGAGAGAGAGAGAGAGAGAGAGAGAGAGAGAGAGAGAGAGAGAGAGAGAGAGAAAGAAAATACATCCATAAAAAAAGACAAATATATCAGTGAAATAAAAATTTCAAAGGGTAGCTTGGTGTGGTGGCACACACCTGTAATCCCAGCACTTGGGAGGCTGAAGCAAGAAGACTGCTGTGAGTTCAAGGACAGCCTGGACAGGCCTGAACTACATAGCAAGACCCTGTCTCCAAAAACAAAGACAGCAAAAAGTTCCAAAGGGGGGCTGGGGATTTAGCTCAGTGCCACTGCACCTGCCTCGCAAGCACAAGGTCCTGAATTCAGGCCCCAGTGCCCCCTAAAAAACCTCCCAAAATCCCCCCCTGAAACTAGGTAAATGATAAAATTATAATTTTGTAAGATTTCTTTGGAATCATTCAGTCCCCAGAGTACGGAGCTGGTGCCCACCTGTGTCATATGGTGGGGGGGGCAAGGTGTGAGCTGGGATGGGCGCCGTGGCCTGCGCAGCTGGAGGGTCCACAGAGGGAGAATGGTGGGGGATGAAGAAAAGACAGACAAAGTGATACAAAAAGCTGAGGCCAGGTGGAGCCTTCCTCCTGAAGGAGGAAAAGGACTGCCTGGTAAGTGCAGTACATTTATTTATAGTGGTAGAGATAAGGGAAGCGCAGGGAGAGGTAAAAGGGGATGGTCTGTAACCAGAGCTGGGAGAGTAGCTAAGGTCTGCAGGACATCATGCTTTGATGGTTTTATGGGGGAACGGACAGGAGGAAGACACATCCTCTGTCCTCTTGTTGGCCAGGCCTTGCTCCACCACACCCTCTTGTCACCTGTTCTCCTCCCACAGGGACCTTCCTCATCCGCTGGAGGAGGCAAGTTAGCCCCGGACATAGTGATCTACAGCACTTCACTGAGCCACTGAAAGAGCCACCTGCAGGGCCTTAGGTGGTCCTCATTACTTTCCAAGGCTCCACCTCCACACGCTACCAACAGGGATTTGAGAACTAGGTTCAGAGACATTAGAGAGAGGCCCATTCCATCATAGCACCTCTCTGATCCCTTAAGGAGAAGTAAGCACCAGCTTGTGTTTGTGTCTTCAGTTACGCTGAAGCACATCAATAAACACATATACACATATGCATATTCTAGTCACAAGTTCCCCCACTTTGCTATTTCATTTGTGGTACTGGAAATTGAATCCAGGACCTTTGCTTATCCCTAGCTCCCCCATCTCCTTTTTTGGAGGCAGGGTCTTCCTAAATAACTGAGTTGCCTAGGCTAGGATCAAATTTGCAACCCTCCTGCCTCAGTCTCCCACAGTGCTGAGATCACAGGCTCCTGCCACACACCCAGCTAATTACAATCTTTTGCTAATGCAAACAATGAAGGTGATAGTGCTCTTAATAAATAAATACACAAAACATATATGATATACTTAAAAAATACAGTGAGTGGGGCCAGGGATTTAGCTCAGTGGTTTCACCACCTGCTGTGCAGGCACAAGAACCCAAGTTCAATCCCCGGTACCAAAAAAAAAAATACAGTTGAGTGTTTAGTTGCACAGTCCTGGCTGCCTCCATGTCCTGAATTGATTCAAAATGTTTCCCTTTCATGGTCATTTTAACTTTGAGGAAGAGCTGGAAGTTGTATGATGCCAGATCCAGTGAGTAAGGAGGATGAGGACACAGTGTCATTTTTAGGAGCCTGCCTTTCTGTTGGATGGCATGCAGCAGCATCCACTGTATTTTTATCACATTTCATAAAGACACTCAGGAGAGAGGTCTTCAGAAGTTGGCAGGACCGATGCAAAGCGAGGGGGAAGATTCTGATGGGGACTCAGGGCAATGTGTCCTTTGCTGTACTTATTTTTAAACACGTAAACATTCCCCACATATTGACCACACCACGCAGGCTGCATATCATTTTTCTGCAGTTGTAGGACAGAACCCATTTTTGATCCCTGCTTGAATTCACCTCTCTGCCCTTCTGTGGCCCCCCGATCCACAGCCCAGTGAACTTCTATTTGTTCTCTTTACCATTCACCAACACACTCACGCCCGCCAGAAACTTCCCCTGACCTGCCTTTGTTCCTTTGTACCCTTTTGCAAGATGGGTTGTGACTCATACTCTAGTTCTGTCAATTCCCAGAACTTCTCCCAGGTGGGACCTGAGACTTGTAGATCTCTATTTCTAGCACGCAAATGCCAGGGCCTGGCATAGAGATAACATTCAACAAATATTCAATAAATGATATGCTCATGCCAGGCAAGGTGGTGCATCCTGTAATCCCAGCATTTTGGGAGGCTGAGGCAGGAGGGTCACAAGTTCAAGAGCCACATGAGCAATTTAATGAGGACTTGTCTCATAATAAAAAAATAAAAAGGCACTGGGATGTAGCTCAGTGCAAAGGCATTGGGTTCAATCCCCAGTACCACCCCAAAATAAATAATGATGTATTAATATTCCCTATAGATTTCACCACAGGACAATTTATGTCCCTAGTTGCTGTTGGTGTGGTTTTTTTTGGTACCGGGGATCGAACTGGGGACCTGAGCTTGCGAGGCAGGTGGCAACACCACTGAGCTAAATCTCGGGCCCTAGATTTTTTTTTTTTAAAGCAATGGCATAGTGAGCCTCTTTCTGCTTCTGGCGTTTTTCTCTTTGGGAATTATGCACCAGATTTTGTGTGTTTCATTTTGTCTCTGGATCAGGTCTTGCTATGCAGCCTGGGCTTGTGATCCTCCTGCTTCAGCCTCCCCAGTGCTGGGATCAAAGGCCTGTTTTCCGAAATGGGTTTACCTGACCAAAGGTTGTAGTATTTTTTTTTTCTTCTTCTTCTTCTTTCCAATTTGCCTTCCAAGATTGTGGATACTGATGCTTTAAATCAGACAGCTCCTAGGAACTGTAATAGTTTGTTTGTTTGTTTGTTTTTTGGTAGCGGGGATCAAACTTGGGCCCTTGCGCTTGCGAGGCAGGCGGCTGAGGTAAATCCCCGGCCCAGGAACTGGAATAGTAATTTGAAAGGGTCATCCGGGCTTTTTCCTGGCTTGGTCCTGGGACAAGTCCTCTAACCAGAGGAAGTTCGAAGGCTCCCGCGCCTCAATTACCCGAGAACACAGCAGCGATTTTGTGCATTTCTCTCCAGGCCCCGCCTGCTCTGCGTTCCGATTGACAGTAAGCCTGACCAATCATCGCAGGACGGGAGAGCACGCGCAAAGAGCCGGTCGGAAAATGGGCTCGCTGGTCGTGCGGCGTGGGGTCACACGAGGCTGGTGGCTGGCGCTGGGAGCTCGGGCGCGGCCCGAAGACGCAGGCTTCGGCATAGAGGCTGCGTTCTCAGGAGGAAGCCGTGCGGGCAGGGCTACCTGGGGTCTACGGGTTCTAACCCCGGCCTTCCCTTGTGGCGCCGAGCCGTGGGTCCGCCGGCTGCAAAGCGGGCCCGTGGAGCCTCGGTCTCCGGAAAGCACAGCCCCTCCTGAAGGTGTGGGAGGCGGGCAGCGAGGCTTCCCCGACGCTGGTCCCTCGGTTTCTGGGCGTCAGCCCCAACCTGGAGGCGGCCGGAAGGAGCTCGCGCACGTGCTGCGCGCCGCCGTGGTGGAGCGGAGAGGTGGGGCGGGGTCCCCGCAGCGCTGCTGGCGTCGGAGGCCGGAGTGGGGTGGGGTGGATGAGCCTGTCTGTAATCGTCCGGTACCGCTGTCACTGCCAGACACAAAGAGGCTCTGTATGCAGCCCGCCGTATGGCTTTGGGGAAAATGAGCTTTGAGCCCAGGCTGCATTTAGTGATTTGTTCATTTTTCTGCACTATTTGTTGAACATGTGTATCGTTCCGGTCATTTTCTAGGCGGGCTGCACAGTGCTGGAACGGACAAAAGAATTCTGTGCTCGGGGAGCCTTCATTCTAGTGAGATTGATGTTCTGATTAATCAGAAAATAAGTTACCAGCGATCTGTGTTCTAGTTAAACTCAGCCAGCTGCTAGGATGCCGACTCTTAAGAGGGGCAGACGTTATCCTGGTGCCAGGATGACATGGAGAAGCCAGGCAGTGACAATCAGGGACGGAGGAAAAAGCAAGTGTAAAGGCCCAGAGGTGGTAGTGAGTTTGGCATATGCGGAGTGGGGTCCATTCACGTCTGAGGGTCATCGTGGGCCACGTTAGGATGAATGAGAAAGACACCTTTGAAGTCCTGGATACAGGTTTGCTAGCACTTTTGCTGATGGCCATGCAATACTGTGTGTTTCAGGACCTCTCGTGACGCTGAACAAGCCACAGGGTCTGCCAGTGACAGGTATGGGCAGTGGTGTGGGAAGGAACACAGCAAAGGGTGTGATGTCTCTGAGGGAGGGGATGGTGAAAACACATGGGTGTGAGAGGACGTGTCGGCCTCTGAGAGCGGCCCATCCTTTCCCCTCGTTTTCCAGGAAAACCAGGAGAGGTGACATTGCTCTCTGTGTTGCCAGAGCTGAGCCAGTCCCTGGGGCTCAGGCAGCAGGAGCTTCAGGTTGTTCGAGCACCTGGGAAGTGAGTGACAGGGGTGGGGATTTCACTCTGACAGGTAATGTATGGTAGACACTCTGCAGTTGGCAGTAATTGTTAGGACTTTTGGCCCTGAGTTCCCTGGGCCCAGGGCAAAATGAAAAACACGTTAAGCTACACAGTCTGTCTTGTCTCTTAGCAGGTTTGAGTTGTAGGCCTGGTGTTACTGTTGGACCTTAAGCAGGTCTGTGTTCCTTCCTAGGATATGTGCGGGAGCCCAAAGGACTTTAACTTGGTGTGATCTGTCCCTTTTCCAGGGAGAGTTCTGGACTTGTGCTCCTCTCCAGTTGTCCTCAGACAGCAAGCCGCCTCCAGAAATTCTTCATCCACTCTCGGAGAGCCCATAGACCCACGGCCACCTATTGGTAAGAGGTGCTGGGCAACCCCTAGGACATAGGACAGTCCCCACAGACCACTCTGTGACTCTTCTGCCCCTTTCCCAGGGCCGTTACCAATGGGATCCCACCTGCTTCTGAGGGGCAGATCTGTGCAGCGCTGACGCTGCAGCACATCAGTGGTGTCAATGTTGTAAGTCGGGGTGGGGGTCCCTCTGGGTGTGTCACGCTACATGGGCAGCCTGTCCTGAGTCTACAGGGCGTGAGCAGACCTGAAGGTGTTGCTCTAGGTATGTGTGAGCCTTGCTCATTCTTGCTGGTTCCTTAGGTGGTCCCTGTGAAGTCCCCATCCCGAAGGGACATCCTGGAGGGTGTCAAGAGGACCCTTAGCCACTTCCGTGTGATGGCCACTGGCTCTGAGTGTGCCCTGATCCAGCTACAGCCCCTCACAGGTGGGTCTGGAGCCCAGGCAGCCTTTAGAACAACACTTGTCTCAGGGAGGGAGAGCAAGAGTGATTCAGTAGCAGCCTGGGGAGCATCTGAGGGACCCCATGGGGACATGGCCAGGCCCAGCTAGAGGCAGCGGCTCCAGGCTTCTGTGCGAATAGATCAGCACCTTGTAGGAAGTAGTAGTTTTGTCCCCAGCAGCTTCAGCAGCCGAGGGCTGCAGCCACAGGCCTGTGGTTAGCAGCCCTGCTGCTCCTGACCTTCTCTGTGCCCCTCTGTGGAGGCAGAGCCACCTCACCACTTCCCTATGACCTGAGAATAGAGCTGGTATTTCCCCTGGTGAGGAGGAGGGAGACTGTCACCTGTCCTGTCTCTCCTGTCACCCAGCATTCTCCAGTCAGCTGCAGGTGCACATGATGCTACAGCTCTGCCCCGTGCTTGGGGACCACACCTATTCTGCTTGTGTGGGCAGTGTCCTGGGCCAGCGCTTTCTGTTGCCCGCCGAGAGCACCAAGCCTCAAAGACAGGTATCCAAGGCCACCTGCCTTCCCGTCCCAGGGTGGGGACTGGGGCGAGGGTGGCCGGCACCTCTGGATTGGCTGTGTAGCTGGGGACTGGGAGCTGGCCCTCTCCGCATCTAAGGTCTGTAGATCCCCGTCTTGCTTTGGGTTAGGCAAGTGGCAGCTCATGCTGTCCATCTGTTCAGTAAGGGAGTTGAAGCTGCTGACTTCCTCCCTCGTAAGTTTGCCATCCTTTGAATCTGTTTGGGACAAGGGACAGAAGGGGTTGATTACGATACCTGCATCTGCTCTAACAGAGTAATCACAACACCCCAGTCTCACAAAGCGGTATGCCCCTTGTGTTAAAGCCAGCAAATCTGGGATTGGGGTAGATGTAGGCTTTGCTCCAACTGTTCACACAGGGACCCAGGCTGTGGTTGTCTAGCCAGATGGGGGCAGTGGCGGTCATGTACACAAGGGTTTCAGACATGCATACTTCCACTCGCTTTCTGGCAAGCTGTCATGTGGTCTCGCCAGGCTGAGAGGTGGGCTGGGCGATGGGGTTGAGCTGTGTACCCCAAGAGAAATGATTTGGTGAACCCCTGACCCTGCCCACCACAGTGAGAATGTGTGCTGGGGGGAAGGTGGATGCAGCTGCGGCCTGGCAAGCAGGAGGGAGCAGAAAGTACGCAGCCTGGAGCTAGACTGGCGAGTCTGCCCTGCCTCTCCCACTAGGCCCTGGATGACCCCCTCCTCAGACGCCTCCGCCTGACCCCCGCCCAGGCTGCACAGCTCCCCTTGCACCTGCACTTGCACTGTCTGCTCCTTCCAGGCAGCAGGCCCACCGATGCACCCATTGAGTTGCAGGCACCCCTACCCCAGTATTTCTCCAGGACCCTGCAGTGCCTGGGTCTCTGCCAGGAATAGTCTCCCTCAGCTGCTGTAAGGCCATGGCTTATAGCCCGGCTCTGTGTCTAGGCAAACCTGAGAGCAGATCTTGGGACATCAGGCAGGGGACTGCTCTCTGGACTTGAAATAATAAAAATTCTTACCTCGTTGTCCGGTCATCTCTTTTTTAAATTTTATTTTATTTTTAAATTTATTGGTACATTTTAGGTATACAGTACATTTATATTTATCATTGGGTGTTTGTACCTATACATGATGTATCTTGCTTCTCATTTTTTCCCCATTACCTGTGGGCCCTTCACCCCCTCCACCCTTCCGTATTTACATAGACTTCGTTTCCATTTTTTTTCTTTTCTCATAATTTTTCCTTTCCCTTCTTTCCTTTCCCCTTCCCCTACCACCACCCCTATACCTTTGGACCTTTTCCTATTTCAAATTATCAATTATTTTTTAAAATCATTTTAATCCTTATTTACACTTTCAGTTTCTCACTAGAGAAACTATTCGGTATTTACATGTGTGTCCTATTTATTTCACTTAAGAGTATGGCCTCAATATGCATCCATTTAGCTATAAATGTCTCTAGTTTCTCATTCTTTATCGCTGAGTAGTACTCCATTTTATAAAAACACCACATCTTCTTTATCCAGTTTCCAGTTGATGGGCAGTTGGGCTACTTCCAACCTTTAGCTATTACAGACTGTGCCGCTATGAACATGGGTGCACATATATCGCTGTGGTATGATTCTTTTACTTCTTTGGAGAATATACCCAGCAGGGGGATAGCTGGGTCAAATGGGACCTGTAGTCCTAGTTCTTTGAGGTATCTCCATACTGATTTCCACAGTGGTTGCACCAGTCTACACTCCCACCAACAATGGAGAAGGATTCCTTTCTCCTCACACCCCTGCCAGCATTTGTTATTGGTTGATTTTTTGATAGCAGCCATTCTTTCTGGGATGAGGTGGAATCTCGGTGTTGTCATCTGCATCTCTCAAATGACCAGTAATGTTGAACATTTTTTTCCATGTGTTTATTTCCTGCTTTTACTTCTTTGTCAGAAAAGTCTGTTCATTTCAGATGCCCATTTTTGAATTGGGGCTTTGAACTTGGGGGGTCTGATTTTTTTCAATTCTTTATATATTCTAGATAGTAGACCTTTGTCTGAGGTACACCAGCTAACTGGTCATCTGTTTTTGAGACAGGGTTGCACATTGTGCCCGGGCTGGCCTCACACTGGTGGTCCTGCCCTCAGCTTCCAGGTTGCCTGAATGACACGTGTGTGGCAGCCCCTGGTTCTATGGTCTGGTTTGGAGGACTTATTGAGCAAGTACATGTTTATCATGGACCATGCTTTCTACCAAATTGAATGTGATCTTTTTATTTAGGGGTTTCTCTTACAATCCTGGCTAGAAAGAGTTGTTAGATTTTTTTTTCCGAGTACTAGGGATTGAACCCAGCATGTACTACCACTGAGCTGTATTTCCACCCTTTCATTTATGCAGCACTGAGGACTGAATCTGGGGTCTCACACATGCTAGGCATGTTTGAGTGAAGGTTCTGTACCATTAAGTATACTTAGTATGTGACCATCACTTCTTCAAATCTATTCATTTTGTTTTGAATTTTTTTTTTGGTATCAGGGATCGAACTCGGGTCCTTGCGCTTGTGAGGGAAGTGGTGGAACCACTGAGCTAAATCCCCAGCCCCCAAATCTGTTGATTTTGTAAAACTGAACTATCCAGGGCTGGGGATTTAGCTCAGTGGTTCCGGTGCCTGCCTCACAAGCACAAGGTCCCAAGTTCGATCCCCGGTACCAAAAAAACCCCAAAAAACTAAAACTATCCATGAAGCACTAACTTGCCATGACCCCTACTCCCAGCTCCTGTAGCTACCATTTACTTTCTCTATGAAATTGGCTAGGTACCTCATCTAAATTGTTAAATCTTTTAAAGCACAGTGGTACAGGCCTGTAATCCCAATACTTGGGAGGCTAAGGCAGGTGGATCACAAGCTTTAGGCCAGCCTTGGCTATGTAGTGAGACCATGTTTCAGAAAAACAAAAAAAATAATTTTAAAACTTGTGGAGGGCCAGGGATGTAGCTCAGCAGTGCCATGCCTGCCTGGCAAGGCGAAGGTCTTGAGTTCAATTCCCTGGTACGGGTGGTGGTGGGGAATTGTGGAGCCAGGCATGGTGGTGCATGCCTGTAATCTCAGCACTTGGGAGGCTGAGGGAGGAGGATTGCCATGAGTTGGAGGCTAGCCTCTGCAGCCGTCTTCACATGGCTTTTGTAGGAGTTAGAAATGCACCACCCTCACATGCTATTTTGGGTTAAAGACACTTGAAAGACAGTGACAGGCCCCCAAGCCAGACCCCCACCCAAGCAGACCTGCTACCCACATCCACAGGAGCATAGGATAACAGGAAGCCAGCCGCTGCCCCACTTACCTACAAGAAAGCTGATTCTATGAAAACCACAAGAGACTTGGTGTACCTGCGCTGCCCTGCTGCTCTCACCACTGCCCTATTTATCAACCAGCCCCAGGCCCATCACCCATGAGACTCTAAATTTTATACCTTCTCAACCAGTGCCCCCTCCTCTACCTGAATTCCCCTATAACAACCACACACACCCTCCTCTCAGTCCCAACAGTCTTTTTCCCATGGGCCATCTGTACCCAGATGGGAATAAACTCATTGCATGTTGCTTAGACTCTGCCTGCCTCAGTGGTCTCATTTGTGCCTCAGTCTGACCTTACAGACATCAGATGCAAGATCACTTCCACCTTTGTGCTATTTCTTTTTGTTTTGGGTTTTTTTGGGGTTTTTTGGTACCAGGGATTGAACTCAGGACTTTGCACTTGTGAGGCAGCCAGAGGCACCCCTGAGCTAAATCCCAGGCCCTCCTTTGTGCTATTTCTTAAAAGCACATGAGACTCCCATATGAAAGATGCTCTCCCTGCACTAGCAAGTTACAGCATCCTTAAGGATGGGAAGTCAGAACCTAGAGAATTCTTTACAGACAATGTTAAAATAATTCTGGGGTGTAACTCAGCAGTAGAGCCACATGTTTAGTTAGCATGCACAAAGCCCTGGGTTCCATCCCTAGCACTGAAAACAAAAATTGGCTTTTTTTTTTTTGTTGAGACAGGCTCTCGATATATAGTTCAGGCTGGCCTCAGACTTGTGGCAGTCTTCCTGCCTTAGCCACCACACTCGGCTAAAATTTTTTTTTTTTGGTATTGGGGATCGAACTCGGGTCCGTGTGCTTTTAAGGCAGGCGGTGGAATCACTGAGCTAAATCCCTGGCCCTAAAATTATTTTTCAAATGAAAATAAAGCTGGACAAACTAGGTGTGGTGGTATACACCTGTAATTGCAGCACTGGGGAGGTTGAGGCAGAAGGATCACCGTGAGTTCAAGGCCAGCCTGTACTACAAATTAAGACCCTGTCTCAAAATAATGAGGGCCAGGGATTTAGCTCAGTGGTTCCACCACCTGCCTGGCAAGCACAAGGTCCTGAGTTCGATCCCCAGTACCAACCCCCCCCCCCCCCAAAAACCAGATTTCCCTGCCTGCCCCTGAGAACACAGTTTATTACAGTGTGTGGTCCAAGGCAATTCTCTCCTCTGTGGCTGCTGAATTTCAGGACCAAGTTTCCAGAATGTTTGGAGATCAGAACTAGAAAGGTAAACTGGACCAAGAAGACAGCTCTGGCCCCGGCCCTCCAAGGTCCACAAGGACCCAGGACATAAGAGAAATTTATCTACAAGATCCTACAACTTTGAGGCTACCAAACTCCAAGTTATCATGCAGATGGAACCAACTACATGTGCCAGACTCCTTTTACTGGGATCCACTAGATCAGCCTTGTAGAAGGAGTTCATAACTGCTAAACTGCAACATGACTCCTAGCCCCTTAGATTAGCTCTCTGGAGAAGGCCCAATTGTGCTCTCCCCTACACCAACCGTTCTCAGCTTGAAGTAGTTAGATGGAAATGATGCCCCTTCCCCTAACTGCAGTTAGGGATAACTCTTCAGAGAGGGGAATATTACAGACAGTTAAATTAGATAGAAGTATTACAGGCAGTCAGACAAGGCTAGGCCCTTGAGGGAATCAGTGCACTAGATGAGAACACATCAAAAATTGGCTGGAGGCACAACTGAAGATTAAAGTCACAATGGCCAGATTTACACACTTCCTTAAAGAAGCTTGAGATTATCCCTACCCCTCTTTGAAATTTCACTATAGATAAACCATTATCTCATCGGGGTGGGCCATCCTCTCCCACCCACTAAGACTACTAAAACGTCTAAGACTATAGATTATCAACCAAGGTTAATGTATTTTATACTCTTGCTACTACTATTGGATCAATTGTAGTGAAGTGGCTATAATTGTAATCTTATTGGTTGATTATAATTTGACCCACATTGTACCCAGCCCTCATGACTTCTCCATAGAACTTTCTCAGAGAAGTGGGCTCACTGGCAACTCATTTGGGACCCCTCCTGTCTCTCAAGAGCTATTCCTATTCCCCAATAAAATTTTCTACTTAAAAAAAAAAGTTGGACCTGTAATCTCAGCACTCTGGGAGCCTGAGGAAGGAGGATCACAAGTTTGAGCCCAGCCTGGGAACTAAGCAATTTGGCGAGACCCTGTCTCAAAATAGAAAGGGGGCTGGGAATTTAGCTCAGTGGTGCTGCAACCTGCCCCGCAAGCGCAAGGACTGGAGTTTGATCCCCGGTACCAAAAAAAAAAAAGGGAAGGGGATGGAGATACAGCTCAGGTGCAAAGGCTCTGGGTTCAATCCACAGTAACACACAAAGTAAGTCCTATCTTTTAAGACTGCCCACATAAGTTAGCTACTTCATTACCATTATTCTCTGTCCAATCCAGCATTGTAAGTATGATTTTTTGTTGGGTTTTTTTTGGTACCAAGGATTGAACTCGGGTCCTTGCGCTTGCACACCAGGCAGCGAAACCACTGAGCTAAATCCCCAGCCCCAAGCATTATAAGTAACTGACTCTAATTTCTCTTCAGGTCTTCACTTATGAGGATTCCTTGCCACATGAGGTTATACTAAATAAATTTGTATGTTTTTCTCCTATTAATATATCTCACATAATTTAATTTCAGACCCAGCCAGGACTGTACATGAAGTTTTTTTCCATTCTCACACCTTGTGTCATCTTGCCTGACTTTGGCGGGGGGAAGGGGGGGGGGGAGTAGGGGTACTGGGGTTTGAACATACTGTGCTACATCCCAGCCATTTATTTACTTAGAGACAGTTTCACTAAATTGACCAAGTGGGACTTAAATTTGAAATCCTCCTGCCTCAGCCTCCTGAGGGCTGGGATTACAGGCATGTGGCACCACTCCAGGCTTCTTCTGACTCTTTTAAGGACACTTGTCATTGGGTTTAGGGCCCACTCATAATTCTAGATGCTCTCATATCATCAATGTAATTGTACCTGTACAACTCCCACACAAGCACACAGTCACACTTTAGACATTTTTAGGGGGGATCATTCAACCCACAACCACCAGGAGATATCCTACTTTTTAACAAGGATGTGGCTTGGAGATTCATTTTTAGGTGGGGGCCCGGGATTTAGCTCAGTGGTTCTAGTGCCTGCCTTGCAAGCTCACGGTCCCAAGTTCGATCCCCGGTAACAAAACAAAACAAACAAACAAAAAAAAAATAAGATTCATTTTTAGGTGACGTGACTTCTTGCAGAGGAAGGACAGACCCATGTCCTCTGGAAGTGGGGTGAGTTCAGGCAAGGCTGACTTTGTCCCCCAGCTGCTGTCATTACTGTCCCTAGCCTGTCTCCTGGGACTGGGGAGCTCCTGGTGGCCAGGAGAAAGCCCCCTGCTTTCCACTCACTGCCACAACATCACAACATACTGGGCCAGCCACATATCCTTTTCCAGACTTGGTTTCTCATGTGTGTGATCCCTGCACAGAAGTCTCCAACTTCCCTGTTGGGAGTTCCGGCCTCCAGCTCTCACCATGGCTGGACCTTGGGGGCAGGGGCCTCGTCCCACCCTTCCCCCTCCAGTACAGGGAAGTCAACCCAGAATACTCCATGTGCTCCTTTTTATTTGAGGCTGGATCCAGGCCAGGGCCATGGGGGTCAGAGCCGGGCTTTCTCCAGCCTCACATCCCCCAGGGCCCCTTGACTGCTGGCCCCTGGAACGTAGAAGCAAGGGGTGAGGGTTGTGGGAGGTTAAGCCTCTTCACAGAGCATGCCTGGGCCTGGGGTGCCTCGGTTTGTCACACTGTCTGGCCTTAAACTTGCCCTTGACCTTCTTAGGGATGCTAGGAAGAGCTGCACCTTCAAAGAACACAGGGCACAAGACACTTCCAGGATGGGGGCCTTGAGGGCACTGGGGAACAGCCTCAGTTGGAGTGGAGAAAAGAGAGAGGATGAGGGATCTGTCTGGGAAAGGGGTTCTGGGAGCTGCCCTGTGCCTGGGGCCCCCAACCCCAACCCAGGTGTCTAGTGCAGCCCACCAGGATGAGTCCAAGTTCAAGGCCCACCTTTTTTGGCTTTGAGATGCTGGGTGCCAGCTTGAGAGCAGGGTTGGGTGGGAAGCAAATGAAAACCTTGGCTGTTGGCAGAGTCATCAAGGCCTTGCCTGTGGATGACAGGGCCTTGGAGCCCACCAGTGTGTCATGCTTCGATCTGAGGCCCCACCCGTGGGGTCAGAGCACAGGGGGATGTGGTAGCCAAGCCCTGGCCTGAAGGCTGGGGAAGGGGTTCAGGGCTGTGGGAGCAAGGGATGCTGTGAGGGCCAGAGAGGGCCCCAGGCTCACTGGCTGCCCCACAGGGTCACAAGGGTGGTGAGGGGATGAACACAAGGCTTGGGGTCCAACAGACCTGGGTCTGCATCCTGGCTCTGACCCTTCTGAGCTGTGCAACCTCAGGCAACTTCTTTACACTTCCTGCTACCTGGGTTGAAGGGGGGCAACAGCACCTACCTCACTAGGTTGTAAGGACAGAGGAGCTGGGCAGGGTGTCCACTGCTAAGTGCTGTAGAGTATTTCTCCTGTTGCCCCAGGATTCTCTGCCTGGAGCCAAGGCAGATTCTGTGAACACCTGGGCTCTGGGCCTCCTAGCTAGGAATGACTGCCTGGCAGGTGACTGCCCCAAGGGACAATATTTGTGGGGCTGCATATTTAACAAGAAAACTTGGTGAGCCATGGCTGTGACTTGCTACTGGGGGGGTCCTTGAAAGGAAGGCAAACCCAGGAGGCTAGGAGGGGTTTGGAGAGCAGAAGAAATCACCTCGGGACCCTTGGGTGTGTTGGGTGATGGGGGTCTTCAGATGCAAAGGTGGTCTGGTCTGCTCAAGGCTGGGGGTAAGCAGGGCTGTGGCTCTTTTCGACTTGCCATTCTTCCCCTTTCCGGGCACCGAAGTAGTGGCAGTGAAGGTTGGCCTTTCCATGTGCCCCGGCTCCTGGCCCTGCCAACTTTCCTAGAAGCTGACCTGTGGGTAGGGGTCCCTGAGTCCTTGCCTTCCCCAGAGCCTTGCTGGGTCAGCAGACGAGGAAATGCGGGGTGGACCCCCATCCGTCGATGATACATGGTCAGGGGTTTCTTGATAGTGGAGCCTTCCACCAGGAGCCGGATGCCCACGTACTGGGGCACCTCCACCGCAGGCTGTGGCAGGAAGAGGAGGAGACAAGGCCCACTCAGACAGTGATGCTGGGACCCTCAGCTGAGAGGAGCCAGGGCAGAGACGGGCAGAAGCAATTTCTGAGGCCCTAGTCAGAATCGGAAAGCCCACCTCTATCCGCCAAGGGTCTCCCCAGATGCCCTAAGAGCCAGAGCCCCAAGGCTGTCCCCACTGTGTGCCCCTCTGCCTTGCTGGAATGTGTGTGTGGCTCTCCTTCCAGAGCCAAATCAAGGGACAGCTGCCTGAGCCACACCCGGCAATCTCTGCAGGAGGAGCTGAGGTGACAGCCACACAGCTAGGAGACTCAGATCCTGCCAAGTCTTGGGGAGCAGAAACAACTAGCCTAAAAGAGGGCAGGGAAAGCTGGGCATGGTGGCACATGCCTATAATCCTAGCCATTGAGAGGCTGAGGAGAAGTCTGGGGAACTCAGAGAGGCCCCACACATCTTAAATGGAACCAAACATTCCAGAATCTCTGGCACCAGAGTTACTCCGTGCTCACTAAAAGTACACCCAGCAGAGGTCCTGAGCAGCCCCATCTGGTGAGAAGCTCATCTTTACAAAGCCTCCTTTAATGAATGTAAAATGCACAGCAGAATCAGAAATTTACTTTTCTTTCGTTTTTTTGGTGGTACTGGGGATTGAACCCAGGGCCTTTCCTCTCTAGCTCTCCCTCTTTTTAAAATTTTGAGGCAGCATCTCACCAAATCTCTAAATTGCCGAGGCTAGGCTCAAATTTTCAATGCTCTTGCCTCAGCCTCCCAGAGTACTGGGACTACAGGTGTGCACCACTATGCTGGGGTTTTTCTTTCTTTTTTTTTTTGAGGCAGCTTCATGCTAAATTTTGCAAATTCACCACCCTCCTGTCTCAGCCTCTGAGTAGCTGTGAGCACTTTAACACTCTAATAAAATAGGTAAGAAGCTGGGTGTGGTGGTGCACACCTGTGATCTCAGCACTCCAGGCTGAGCTCAAGGCCAACTTGGCCTACAGTTAGTTCAAGGTCAGCCTGAACTGATGGGGAGACTCTGTCTCAAATAAATAAGTAAAAATAAATAAATAAAATAGGTAAGAATAACAACTGGATATCAAAACAATTACTTGGAAAGTATGACCAAAAAATGCGTAAATTGGACATAGCCAAAGTGGGTTCAGCATCTTCCAAGGCTTCATGTGTTATAATTTAGTTTCTACTCAGGTATAGGAAGGTGGAAACTTAGACCAACTGTGGTGTTGGGTTTTTTTTGTTTGTTTTTGGGGGGTGTTTTTGGTGCTGGGGATCAAACTCAGGACCTAGCGCTTGTAAGGCAGGCAGCGGAACCACTGAGCTAAATCCCTGGCCCCCCCCAACCGTGGTGTTGGAAGGGGACTCAGATTAAGTTCAGGATGGAGTGAGTCTTAGGATGGAATCCTGGTGGCTCTGTGAGAAGAGAGACCAGGCAGACATGCAGACATGACTGTCCTCCCTCCCCTCCCTGCCTTTCAGTGCTGCTGCTGCTGCAGAACCCTACTGAGCTGCCCCTGCGCCTCCTGTCACTTGACAGGTGACATTCTGTGCACCTCAGGACACTGCCAAGAAGGCCAGAAGCAGATGTGGCCCACTGATCTTGCACCTCCAGAACTGTGATCCAGAATGAAGCTCTTTATAGCTTACCCAGTTTGTGGTATTATGTTATTAGCAACAGAGAAGGGACTACTATAAAAAGTAGTAACTGCAAAAGAGAAGACATAGCTTCTGGTGGAAAAATCTGGTAGCCACTATCTTTCACATGTGTGTGTGTGTGTGTGTGTCTTTGTTCTGAGACAGGTTCTCACTATGTAGTTCAGGCTGGCCTTGAACTCACAGTGATTCCTCCTGCCTCATCCTCCCAAGTGCTGGGATTACATATATGTGCCACCACATATGTGGCTGGCAGCCACTATCTTAACCTGCAGTCAAATTCAGCATCACTGTGAGACATTCTGATGGTTATGTTCCTTATGATGTCACATGGGCCACTCAGCAGCACTTCTAGTGTTTTTACCAAAAATGTTTAACCTGAACTTCACCAGTCTGACCTAACTTCTAGTTCATGGGATATTCTGATAACAGAAGACCAAGTTAAACAACACCACAAGAAAAATCAGATAAATCCAGAATGTGGGACAGTTCTATAAAACAATCATCCTGGGTCCCTTCAGAGATCAAGATGAGAAGAGCAGTGGAGCTGTCCTAGATTAAAAGATTAAAGAGACAAAAGCACCAATGCGTGGTGTGAACCTGGACTACGGTGACCTAAAAAATCAGCAGGGTAAGTCATTTGTGGCACAACAGGACATTTGAAAAGTGCAGATGCAGTCCTCCAAGCAGACATAGTTCAGGCTCCGGCAGGGCTTCTGACACCACACACTGAGCCAGTGTCCTGTGCCGCGGGTCTGGGAACCACTGTGCCACAATAGCACCTTGCCCTGTGGCTCTGCCATCACGTATTCCTCATTTACCATTTTTTCTTTTTCTAATACTAGGCATTGAACCTAGGACCTTAACTACTGGGCTACATGCTTAGCCTTTTCTATCTTGATATACACCCTTACTAAGTAGCCCAGCCTGCCCTCAAACTTGTGATCCTCGTGCCTCAGCATCCTGAGTAGCTGGAATTACAGGCATGTACCACCATACCTGCCTTTCAGATTGATTTTTTAGAATTCTGTAAGTAGATTCAAATCTCTTTTTGGAACAAGATGAATAAGTTAGCAACAGCTTCCACAAGTTAACTTACTAAAATGTCAGGTACTTTACAAGTGACACCACTTATCATAAAATGCCAGACAACCTTATTAGGTAATAACAACAGCTATGGGCCGGAGATTTAGCTCAGTGGTTCTGTCACCTGCCTTGCAAGCGCAAGGACTTGAGTTCGATCCCCGGTACCAAAAAAAAAAAAAAATAACAACAGCTAAACATGTGTAGCATTTATTGTGCATCCACTTTTCTAAAAGTACTTTCTTCATATCAACTCACTCAATTCTCATGATCCTATGAATTAGATTCTGGGTTTGGGGGGGGGGGGGTTGGTACCAGGAATCAAACTCAGGTCCTTACACTTGTGAGGCAGGCAGCAGAACCACTGAGCTAAATCCCTGGCCCCTAGATTCTGTTTTTATTCATGCTTTACAGATAAGGAAACTTGGAGGTCAGGAAACTGTCCAGTCATTCAGCCTGTAGTTACTGAACAGGATTTGAACCTGAAAAGTCCCTGAATCTACACCTCTCTAGTTACGTATCTGTGTAGGAGAAAGATGGAATCTCCGCCTTCTAGATGAGGAAACTAAGTTTAAGGAGGGGACAGCTGTGTTCAAACACCTTGTGCTCAGGTCTTGACCTACAGAGCCTCATGCTTCCCTGTGGAGCTGCTGAAAAGGGGACAAGACTCCCTGGGGTCCCCCCTGGCTCAGCCCCTCACCTGTTTATAGATGAGCTCAAAGGCTCCTGTGTCACAGGTGCGATCCAGTCGACGGTCAATAACCACACGTAGGGTGTCAGCTTGAACCCCAGCACAGAGCTGTGCAGTGACAGGTGTTGATGGCGCCATGGTGGGGCTGGCATTGATCTCAATCAGCCAGGGTTGAAAGTCCTCACCAAAGACAAAGTCAGCGCCATAGAGCTCGAAGCTGGCCTTCCGATCCTGCACAGTGTCCTGGGAGGTCTGCAGTGCATGGATCACGGCAGCCTTCATGCCCGGAACAATGACTGTAGACCAGGCGTCCGGGGCCCCCATCGCCCGCAGGTGGGCCTGGAACTTCTGGCTGGACCACATGTTGTCCAGGGGCAGCATTGGATCCCGATGGCTTGAGTTCTCCAGGTGCTTCTGGATGGAGTTGTTGCACAGGTGTACTGAGCTGGGCAGAGAAGAAAGCAGGTCAGTGCCTGCTAGGCCTCTCCAAACTTTGGCCCTGCTGGGGAGGATGAAAGGATGAAGGCCCAGGCCCCTCCACATTCCTCCCAGGCCAGAGTCCTCTCTCAGGCTCACACTGAGGGCTCTAACCATGGAGGCCACAGTTTGGAATGCTTTTCGCCTTGTTCAGGGACCCTCCAGTGCTCGGAGGATGAGGAGGTGTATGTGAGTGTGACCTTTAGCTGCCAGGTTTTCAACCATCTTCACATGAGCAGCAGTGAGCCACAGGCAGGCCACTTCATCTGTGTGCTGCTCCATCTGCATAGTGTGGGGAGTGGTGGTACCGGCCTCACTGGATTTTTAAGAAAAATGACTGGGATATACACAACTTACTGGGTACCCATCATACATGAACCACTTGATAACTGAGAGCTAGTTTGTTTGTTTACTGTGGATTGAACCCAAGGCCTTTGCACAGAGCTAATCCCCAGCTCTTTTATAAGATTTTTTTTTTTGGTGCCGGGGATCGAACTCGGGTCCCTGCGCTTACACAGCAGGCGGTGAAACCACTGAGCTAAATCCCCGGCCCTAGGTTTTATTTTTTTAAATACGGTGACAGGGTCTTGCTGAGTTGATAAGTTGCCAAGGTTGGGCTGAAACCTGTGGTCCTGCCTCAGCCTCCTGGCGGGCTAGGAGTACAGGCATGCACCACAACTGACTATAGGGCTACAATTACAACTGTTTTTTTTCTTCTTTTTGGCAGTACTGGAGATCAATTCCAGGGCCTCACTCATGATAGGTAAGAACTAAACCACTGAGCCACACCCCCAGCACTGTTCTACCCCTTCTGAGACACAGCCTTGCTAAAATTGCCCAGACCTGCCTCAGTGTGCCACCCCTCTCCCAGGTTGGCTCCCAGCTCCCAGGTAGCTGGGAGTACAGGCGTGTGCCACCACACTGGCCAATTCTGAGTTCCTATTGCTGCCTCCATTCTTCAGATGTGGAAACTGAGGCCTGAATAGGTTTTCACTTGACCAAAGGCACATACCATGGAAGCTACACAGACAACATTTGAACCCAGGCCATAACAAAGCTTCTTCTCACCCCTAAAGTTAACACCTCTTATTACTTCTCTTCTCTCAGATCTCTCCTGGCCTGCCTTTACCAGCTCTCCACTTTTCTTTTTATACACGTGTCATCTTTTACCCCATTAAATCATGGTGTCCGTTATGTTCACTGCTTGCATGTGTCTCCCTGCTGGAATGTGTGCTTGTGAGGGCTGGGATCTTGTCTTGTTGGCCACCCGGTCCCAAGTTCCCAGGACAGCACAAGGCCCAGTGTCCACTCTCAGCGAGTGCCTGCTGTGTGAAGGCACTGGGAGGACGGAGGGTTGGCTGCCTGACTCTGCCTGGAGCTGTGTGGCTATGAGACAACAGCTCCTAGCCAGACCAGGGGCTTTGGAAGGTGAGGGCCAGAGCTCACTTGTCCAGGTTCTTCAGGGAGAAGAGCTGTGTGGAGAAGCGGATGTAGCTGTCTCGGTAGAACCACACAGTAAGTGGATTCCAGTCAGTTACCAGGAACCACTGTCTCAGGTCAAACTTGGTGCCAAAGATGAGCAGGGGCCGCTCGATGTACTTCTGTACGACCCACTTGCCGTCCTTCACCACCATGGGGTTATAATCCACCAGCTTCAACATCTCCTCCAGGTGGTCCATGCACATGATGCCTACGCAGAGAGGGTAGTCAGGCGGCCATGCTCCTCCCCAAGGGGCTGGGATAGCCACGTGGATAAGCCCTGCTCCCTCTGAGAAAGCTGAGTTGTTTAGGCTTTTAATATTTTTCTAGTTAACTCATCTGTTTGATTGAAAAAGAATATATGCTTACATAAAAATTTGAATAGTGCTGGGATTTCTATAAGTATGTGGAAATATTACGTTCCCCCAATAATGAAAAAATAATTTAAAAATTATAAACAAACAAACAAACAAAATCATACAAAAGGGCACAGGGCACACCAAAGCAAACAAAAAAACCAAACCAAACCCAGAACAAAATACCCATACCTCCTCTCTAAAGGTCAACTACTGCACATCCCAGACCCATATGGTGTCTTTCCAGGTAACACGAGAGTGATACATGCCTCTGTTTCTCCAAATTACACAAATTAAAGCAGGCCAAGGACTTGCTCTAGGGCTGGCACATTGTGAGCATCCAATGAATGCTAACTCACACCGTTCACACTAAAACGTGTAAGAAACATTTCCAGCCCTGGCTCTGCCAGGCCCAAGGGCATCTGCATTTTCCATTTTCCACTGCCAAAGGTTTCCTTCTAACTTCCAGTCCTGGCAAGAATGTATGAGACTGTGTGTCTGCCCAGAGAGCACCCAAACAGCTGACTGCTGATTTGGGTCCTTCTCCGGGCTAGAAAATGGCATCTTATTTATGGACAGGGTCTTGGTATGTTGCCCAGGCTGATTTTGAACTTCTAGGCTCAAGTGATCCTCTTATCTCAGGCTCCCACACACCCTTAGACTACAGGTGCGTGCCACTATGACTTTTCTTTTTCTGTGCCAAGGATCGAATCCAGAGCCTTATACATGCTAAGCACTGAACTTAACTATCACTGAACTATACCCCCCAGCCCATTATGTACTTTTTTGGTGTGGTATTCCGATAATTGTTTTATCTTTTCTTTGAATGAAGTTAAGCATCTTATGCCCATAAAGAATAATTTTATTTATTCATTTATTGAGACAGGGTCTCACTTTGTATTTCAGGTTAGCCTCGAACTCATGGTGATCCTCCTGCCTCAGCCTCCCAAATGCTGGGATTACAGTGTGCATCACCACACAGTTTAAGGCATAATTTTAATGGTAGTAAAATTAGAATCATGTTACCAAGAACACACAACACTCACAAATCTACTTCACCCCTTTACTATCCTACCCTCTGTCAGCCTGATGACTGCTGATGGCACAGAAAACTGTGCCTTTACCAAACCTTCTCCCTTCTTAAAGGGCCAGACTGATCACCAAGATTCCCAGCAACATGATATCTTCATTTTGATTTTTTGTTTGTTTTTGGTTTTTTTGCTTTACTAGGGATTGAACCCACCACCTTCACAATGAGCCAAATCCTCAGCCCTTTCTAGTTTTTATTTTATTTATTTATTTTTTTGGTACTGGGGATCGAACTCAGAACCTTGAGCTTGTGAGGCAGGCGCGGTGCCACTGAGCTAAATCCCCGACCTCTCTAGTTTTTATTTTGAGACAGGGTTTCATTAAGCTGCCCAGGCTGGCCTCAAACTTGTGATCTTCCTGCCTCAGCCTTGTGAGTAGTTGGGCTCAGAGGTGCAGCTACCATGCCCAGCCAACATGTTACTTTGTGTAAGAGTAAGACTGTCATAGAAGCTGGGGCTGTAGCTCACAAGCTTGTGTGTCTAAGGCCCTGGGTTTGAGTCCTAGCACACATACAAAAGGTTGTCCAGGCTGACACAGAAATTTTGTTTCCAGGAATTTATCCTGAAGAAATAAGTGGAGAGGGCTAGAAATCTATGTGCATAGAATGTTCATCATGGCGTCACTTGTAACAGCAATCAGTTAACAAAACCAAACCCTAAAGCCGTACAGACTTCCACCAGGTAAGGGTGGTATCCATGTGACTGCATCTGGGCTAGATCCCACTGTGCAGCTACTGAACAGAACCGAGTGAGACAGCATACTTCGAAGCACCCAGAGCCCAGGGACAGGCACTGCCCATGCAGGCCTGACAGTGCAGGACAAGTCACCAGTATGGGAAATAGGGATAAGCCTGGGGCTCTGGCCTGCAGGTGACATTCCGCTTCCCACCTCTGAGAGCTGTTTACACAAGTTTGCTCACTGTGTGACACCTCACTTACTGCGTGCTCACTGCATACCCTTTCAACACAGCCTGCCGTACATACACTTCAGTAAGGTTTTTAAAAACAAATAAAATGTTAATAAAGCTTGGAAACAGCCCAAGTGCCCATCAACTAGAGACAGGACAAAGAAGATGTGGGTTTTTTATAAAATAGAGTACTACTCAGCCATAAAGAATGAGAAACTACAGAGATTTATAGCTAAATGGATGCATATTGAGGCCATACTCTTAAGTGAAAGAAATAGGACACAAGTGTAAATATACAATAGCTTCTTTGGTATGAGAAACTGAAAGTGTAAATAAGTATTAAAATGAATAATTGATAACATGAAATAGAAAGAAAAGGGGCAAAGGGATAGGGGAAGTGAGAGGGGTAGGGGAAAGGAAAGAAGGGAAAGGAAAAAATATGAGAAAAGGAAAAAATGGAAACAAAGTCTGTGTACATAGGGAAGGGTGGAGGGGGTGAAAGGAAGGCAGGGGAATGGGGAAAAAAATAACAACCAAGAGAGATTATGTAAAGGTTCAAGTTCCCAATGATGAATGTAAATGTACTGTACACCTAAAATGTACCAATAAAAAAATTTAAGAATAAATTTTTTAAAAAGAAATAAAATGCTAAAACTTAGTGGTAGCTATAATGGGATTCATTGTATTATTTCTCTTCTGTGCATGTTTGAAAGCAGTCATAACAGGCAGGTGTGGTGGCACACACTGCATTCCCGGCTACTTGGGAGGCTGGGGCACAAGGATCATTTGAATCTAGGAGTCTGAGGCCAGCCTGGACAACACAGTAAGACCCAGTCTCAAAAACTTAAAAAAAATTTAAAAAATGAAGTGCCCATGAAAAATAACTGCAAGTTAAAAAAATATCTGACATACTGAAGTGATCTCTAATGTCCATTGCTAGAAAGCAAGGCCAGGTATTGGTGGTACACACTTGTAATTCCAGTTACTGGGGTGGCTGAGAGGGGAGGGGCAAAGCCAGCCTGGGCAATGGTACTGAGACCCTATCTCAGGAAAAATACATGCAAAATTGAAATGAGGTTTTATATTAATTAATAGAGATATAACTGAAAAACAAGACTACAGAATAGTGGTCTATTTAAAATAAAACACACACACCCCCAAATATAGAGGAAAAAAACGTAGAAAAACACACACCAAGTTGGGTGTGGCAGCACATGCCTACAATCCCACTGTTCTGGAGGCTGAGGCAGAAGGATCACAAGTTTAAGGCCATTCTGGACTATAAAGTGAGATCTTATTTCAAAGAAAAGCACCAGAAAAGGAAAGAAAAGAAACACAGCCAGGGGCTAACAAGCAGTTATCTGTCCATGAAATCAGGGTGGCCTCTGCTTGTTTCTACTTTTCTGTATTTGTCTTTTTTAAATATAATAACCACAAATTTTCATAATTGGAAAAAAACAATAACACAAGGTAGAAAAAGAAAACAACCCAGGGCTGGCTTGTTTTTGTTTTTTGTATTTTTTGTTGTTATTGCTGTTTGAGACATGGTCTTGGTATATAGCTCAGGTAGCCTTCAATTTGTGATGCTCTGGCCTCAGCCTCCCAAGGGCTGAGATTACACGTGTGCACTACCAATGCCTGAGTCTAATTCTGGTTTGATATGACATCCCATCCCCAAGAGGAATGAGTGTTTAGCCTTCAGGAGCTGCAACAGCTTCCCCTGGGCATGAATCAACCCCAGGGCAGTATTTGGAGGGATGTGGGCCAAACTCTGTTTCCTGCCTCATAGGAGCCTCCCACAGTCTGGATGGAGGCCAGGCTTCTGTGCCACCCCTGTGCACTGCTCAAGTCCCAGCCACACTTCATGGAGCAGTCAGGAAAACCATAACCCAGCAGTTATTAGGCCGACGTCTGGGATCTGAATGCTCTCTGTGTGCCCCTTGTATCTAAGCCTCTTGGGGACATCAGCTCCATTTCCTCCTGAAGGAGAGCCAGCCCAGAAGAAGTGAACTAAGAGGTGAACTAAGAGGTAGAGGAGCAGAGCCTGAACTCTGGATGTGGCTTCCACATCCATGTCCTTAACCACTGTGCTAAACCCTACGAAGACATGCTGGGGATATCTGAGAGCCTGGTGTCACTAAACCTACCTACAGCATAAGCCTGAGCTCTGAGGGCAGGAGAGCTGGTGCTAGCACTGCAACAGAGCTGCTGGTGTTGGGGCAAGGATTGGGCCTAGCACTTCATTGAACAACCTCAGAGGCACCGCTACACTTAACCCTCACATTGCAGGTGGCATTGTCATCATCCCCACTTCACAGAGCAGGAAACTGAGGCTCGGACAGAGAAAGTGACTTGTTCGAGGTCATGCAGAATATTAGTGATAGAGCTGGGATTTTAACCCAGGCAGTTTGGGGATCTGCAGTAACCTCCCTGGCCTCTGGTGGGGGACACAGAACATAGGATGCTGGTGCAGAAAGCAGGGCCTGACTCCCACCTCGTCCACGGGACTTGGCTCCTGGCTTCACGATCCAGATGTTGCGATCCCCTTCCATGTCGATCTGGGGTACCACAGCCCGAAGCTGCTGCAGGATGTCCTCACAGCGCTGGACCTGAGTGTCGAGGTACTTGAGTTCGGCACCCTCACTGTGGGGAGACGGTGGGACCTGAGCAGAAGGCAGGACAGGCCCACCCAGCCATAGTCCTGCCAGCCTGGGCTGTGCTTTCCCCCTGGATTCAGACAGGGGTCTCCAGCACCAGCCCCACCCATAGCCACTCAGCTCCGCCCCTGGCCAGCCCCCTCCAAGAGTAGGAAAGGCTGGAGAAATCCCTTACTTCACCTGTTCTCCCTTTAACCTTCCATCTCCACCATCTGCTTCCTATTCAAACTGCCTGTGGCAGAGCAGCACTGCAGCAGCTCCTGTGATGGGGTGCCACATGTGCCAGGCACTGAGTAGAGGCTTTCCAAATATTATCCAAAGTCCTCTCAACAGCCCTGCCAGGGAGGTGTTACTCATCCATTCTAGAAAGGTGTATGCCGCTGAGCTGTGTGACTGTGCCACGATTCAAATGCCTGACTAGTTCACCAGAAGGTTCACTCCCCTCCTGATCTGGACCCACCACTGACTGATAAGATAGGTTCCCTTTCAAATCTAATTCAAGCACATTTGTATCACACCTTCCCTGACTCCCTTTCTCTTCCCATCAGTTATCCCTACCAGATCCATATGCTTATTTGGTTACTGTCTTCCTCCACTAGAAGTGTGTGTGCATGTATGTGCGTGCGCGTGTGTGTGCGTGTGTGTCTGGGTATCAAACCCAGGGCCTCCAGAATGCTAAGTATGCGCCTACATTCTCAGCCTGAGAAGGAACATCTTCCCAGCTGTTATTCTTTGCTGCATTTTCATCTCAAAACCCTGCATCCGCCACTTCTCAGCTGCTCCCCACAGTCTGAGTTGAGATAGGTAGGGCAGTGCATCCTCAGCCACTCGGCTGTCCTGGTAGACAGGACTTCCTGGACAATGCGGGACGAAACTAAGCCACAAAACAGCCCAGATGGTCACTCATTCAGACTCTCCTGGACAGCAAAGACCCCTCTTCGAGGTACACATCTGTCTTGACATCTTAGCCTCTGCAGGGTCTCCTGCTTGTCCTGGAGGCAGAGCCAAGAGAGTGACAGCCAGACGGAGGTTTAGTAGGTGGCCCAGGAATATCCAAATCTAAATCCGACACACTTCCCCCACCCTTTCCATGGCATAAGGAGTCTGCTCAATAAATCTGGGTTGTGGCCCAAAAATATGTCACCCAGGGAGGAGCACAAGTAATTTGAAAAAGTACATTCAGCATGATTTTCTATTTAACAAATTATAAAGGGAAGCCACATCTTTGTAAAAGCCTTGTTGGTAAGGCATGGACTTTTGTTTTGTTTTTGAGACCTAAGGACTTGCTAAGTCATCAGTTGCCTTAGTGGGGCTAGAAGTTGTGATCCTCCTGCCTCAGCCTTCCAAAGTACTGGAATTACAGGGTAAGCCACCACTCCAGGCTTCACATCACCTTTCTTAAACTGAGAATTACCAGGCTGTGTTAGGACATGAGGCATAAAACACCATGTAGCCAAGGCTGGCCTCAAACTCACAGAGTCCCTCTTGTCTCAGCCTCCTGAGTGCTAGATTACAGGCATGTGCCACATCTGGCATAGATTTGCTTTAAAAAGCTGAGAAACTAGGGTTGGCAGCATGGCTTGGTGGTAGAGTGCTTGCCTAACAGGTACTAGGCCTGGGTTCAATCTCTAACACCACAAAATAACTAAACAAACAAGTAAAATTAAAAGCTGATGGCGCCTGCCTCGCAAGCGCAAGGTCCCAAGTTCGATCCCTGGTACCAAAAAAAAACCAACCAACAAACAAAAAAAAGCTGAGAAACGCAGGGGTAAACAGTGAATGAATGAGCTGGGTATGGTGGTACACATGCCTGTGATCCCAGCACTCGGGAGGCTGAGGCAGGAGGATCGCCATGAGTTTCAGGCCAGCCTGGGCTAAATAGTGAGTTCAGGGCCAGTCTGAACTCAAAAAGAAATTGAGGGCCAGGGATTTAGCTCAGTGGTGCCGCTGCCTGCCTCATAAGCACAAGGGCCCGAGTTTGATCCCTGGTACTAAAAAAAAAGAAACTGAATGAATGAATGATGATCATCTGTACTGAGTCATTTCTCTTATAAGAGACAGTATCTTACATGTTCTGACTTTTAGGAGGTTCCCACAGAGCTCAAGAACTTGCCCATGTACTGGGAATAAAAAGGACTCACATGCTTTATGCCTCATATCCCAGTGCAGCCTGATAACTCTGAGTTTAAGGAAGGTATTTGGAGCCTGGAATGGTGGCTCACTCTGTAATTCAATTCCAGTACTTTAGAAAGATGAGGCAGGAGGATCACAAGTTCTAGCCCTGCCAAGGCAAGTGATGACTTCATAAGACTTCATGTCAAAATAAAATATAAAAAAGGCCTGAGATGTAGCTGCATGTGAGGGCTCTGGGTTCAATCCCTAGTTCCAGGAAAAGTACAGGGTTACCTAGTCATTTTCTGACATTCAGAAAAGACAGATGAGGGCTGGGGATTTAGCTCAGTGGTTCTGCCGCCTGTCTTACAAGTGCAAGGATTGGAGTTTGATCCCCGGTACCAAAAAAAAAGATGAATTATTTCCTGAAGACACTGGTCTCCATTCATTCAAGGTTCATTCATGGAACAAGGTCGGGCCCCCAGGAGTCCTTGCTGAGTCCTCTCTGGCCACCAGCCCACATCCCCATCCCTCACTCGTGCCTGGGCTCAGGCTCCTTCCTCCAGAAGCACCAGGCTCCCCTGCTCCAGAACTTTCTCCAGCTCTGCAGTCCTGGCCCCTTGGGTCACTCAGCACCGATGCACCATCAGCACTTCCATCCCCAGGGCTCCCGCTGCAACAGGGTCTCAAGAGGCCTGCATCCACAGAACCCATTCAGTCAACCCTGTGTAACCCAATGTTGTCCAAACCTGACTGATAACTAAAGCCCTTTTTTCCTATTTACTTCCTGAGGAATTAGTATCTCGTATAACATCTGGAAGTAGCCTCACTAGAATGTAAGTCTAAGTGGCTTACATTCCTATTTTGTGAGAGATACCATGAGCCCATGGTGAGCACATACCTACAAAATGTTTTTGTTCACCCCACTTTCGAGGCAGACATAAATTTGCATTCGAGAAAAGGTATGTTCAGAGAATGAGTGACATTCTCAAGGTCCCAGAGCATGGAAGTTGCAAAGCTAGGACTGTACTCCAAGTTTGTCTGACAGCTCAGGCCAGTCTTAGGAAGAGTGGTTTAGAGGGGTGGGAGCCCTCAAGGGTTCCTGAGCAGGAGAGTAGCAGGATATAAGTAAGGGCGAGCCTGGGAAGGGGGCTTGCCCCTGGTCACCTGCCTGTGCCCCCGGCTCTGCAGTACTCACTGGACCACCTGGTAATAGCGCCGGAGGAAGAGTGCCCAGCCCTCAGGGCTCAGGTACAGTGGGGCCTCCACATCCTTGTCGATGTCCGTGTGGGCCAGGTTGCTGAGATACTCCTCACATGCACACAGGGCCTCATCCACAAACTCTGGGGACACCGACATTGGCTTCTTTTCCTGCTTAGGCTGCTTATCTCCTGCCGCGATAAGAAGGGGGCTGTCCACCAACACTGGGACAGACAATGTGTCACATGCCACAGTCCCCACTGCCCAGGGGCCTATCATTTACCTGAGGCCTCTCCTAAAGACACCTGAGGTCCACCATGAGCCTGGACTCACCACTCACCTGAGGCTTTGTCCCAAATCAACTGCAACCTGAGTGCTTCACCTTTGGCCCCACTGTCCCAGGCCCGCTAGGTCCCTTAAGGCTCTACCCTAAATGTCTCCAAGGGCTCCAACAGCACCTGTGGCCCCAGCACACACCTGCAGCCCCTCTGGACACATCTGAAGCCCTGTCTGAAAGCCTCAGACTAGGCCAATGAGAACAAATCTTTTGGAGGTGAGTACCCAAAACCCACTTGTTTATCACAAAGAGCCAACACTGCAATTAACCCTGAATACTGAGGTTTTAATTTAGAAGTAACAACTCTACAATAACATCTTTTGTCTTAAAAGAAAAACAGGGGGTTGGGGATTTAGCTCAGTGGTGCCACCACCTGTCTTGCAAGCGCAAGGTACCAAGTTCGATTCCCGGTACCAAAAAAACCCCCCAAAAAACCCAAATAACATGTGTGCCATAGGTTCACCAACTCTGGCCCAGGCAATCCCAGGTACACAGGATAACAAGTGTGAGACAGCTGCTTAAGTTCCAACACATCAGATCTGGACTCACTCCCAGGGTCCTGAACCAACAAATCACTGACCTACACGTGCAATTACAGGCCCGCAAGTGACATGCCAGGAACTGACCCCTCACCCAAAGTTCTGACTCCCTGGACGTTGTAGGGCTGCCCAAATACTGCTGGCTAGTGGAGGCCCTCAACCCTGCACCCTGACCCAGGCCCAAGCCCACCACCATGGAAGGTTAAGTGCAGAGTGTCTGCCACATGGGAGCCTCTGTGCTCCTGATCCTGGTACACAGTATTCCTTGTACCCAACACACCAGCCCAGGAGACAGCAATGTGAGGTCTCCTGCGGGAGAGGCAGGGGTATCTCTCCTCTCTGGAGCGCTGCCTCTTACCTTCCTGAATTACTGGCTGCTGAGCCCTGGATTACTGGACTAGGGGCATAGAGACAGGAGCCAAGCCCAGAGAGGAAAGGGTGAGCAATGGGCTGGGCTGGCATACAGCAAGAGGTCCTGTGTCCCCTCTACTCCAGATGTTCCTCGTGTCCTCAGGACACCTGTAGCATGGTTTCACCACCTCCTGCTCCTGAAAGGACCCCACATGTCTTCTTCATGTGCCAATCCAAGCTCACGCTCATAGCAACCCAGGGGAGGGCTCACCAATGAACAAGTGGATAGGAAGGCAAGGAAGTGTGCAGGAGTGGTATAGACCGGCAGGAGAAGGAGGACAGAAAAGCAAGCACATGGGCAGGGGGGATGAAGGGGGGTGTGGAGCGGATGGCAGGTAGTGAATGAGATGACAGCGGGCGGACAGATGGGAAGACAGCTGAGGAGATGAAGAATGGAGATGTGGGGGAGTGAACAGATGGATGAAGACATGGGGTAGATGGATGGACAGGGTGCTGGGCAACTGCCAAGTATGGACACTATGTGGACAGTGGCAGGCACAGTGGGCAGGGGAGTGGAACTGCCACAGTACCTACCTGTGGCCTCTTTCCCTTCTGCCTGGACAGAGTACGACTTCCACTCCAACTTCACCACCAGCTTGAGAACGTTGCGAGCAGCTGTCAGCCAGAAGTCCTCTGCTCCCAGGGCAGGGGATAGCCTGCTCAGCCCCTAGGCTCAAGGCTTGTTCTGGTTCTGGAACCTGATCATGACTTCCCCCATTCTGGGTCTAGAACCTGACTTCACCTGTTCTGTCTCTAGAACCTGGCTCCTATCCCAGTTACAGAATCAGACCCAGAATGTGACCAGACCTGGAAAACATTCTCTTTACAGTCTGGCCTAAACCTGCTGTTCCTCCCCTACTCTGATGCTTATTCTAGTTGGAGAGCCCAACCTTGACCGAAACTACTTCAGGTCTGGAATACAATCTGAAACACAGCATCTACTCTGGTTCCAAATTCTGACCTGAATTTAGAACATACTTTGCTTGGAACCTACTGTCTTAGAAACCCACAAGCCAACCACCTTTTTTCAGAACCTGATCCTGCTAATAGAACTTCCTGTAGGCCTGGAATCTATGCTGGGTTCCAGATACAACTTCTAGAGTCTGTTCTAGAATACAAGCTAAGCTGTCTAAGCTTTTCTGGAGGTCCAAGCTGGCCAGGTCAACAGGCTCACTGAGGAAGGCATATTAAGGAGAGGAAGGAACAGGGAGAGGGGAGAAGATCCATGGAGGTAGATGAGGGTGAGGAGAGGCTTTTGCTCTCCAGCGAGTCAGAGTGTTAGGCCCTGTCCTCCAGCCCAAGGGTTCAGTCATGGACAGGGCTCACCTTACCTATGAAGGCTTTTTTGTCATCCTCAGCACCTAGGCGGTAGCAACGAGGGAAGAAGGAGTCGGCATCAGCCTCATCGAACCACTGCAGATTCCGGAGATTGAGACACAGACCCACCTGTGGAATCAGCTGCTGAGGCAGGCAGGGTGGGGACTCTCCACACATAGCACACATCCAGACGGTCAGGAAGACCTGCCTGGGGCCAGAGGCTCAGCCCCAACAGTGAGCCCTGACCTGCTCAGATCTATCCACATGCCTGCCTGGGTGCTCTAGTCCTTCCTTCTGTCCTCTGATCTTTGTAAAGACTGCTTCTTCAGCCATCCTTCCCAGCCCACACTGGGGAAAGCCCTTCGTCCTCAACACACCCCAACAAGGCAGGCTCCTTGGGATTCTCATGGAAAGACGAAAAAACTTGAGCCAGGCCTGGTGGCACTTGCTGTTAATCCCAGCATTCAAGAGGCTGAGGCAGGAGGAGCATGCCATGGCCAGCCTGGGCTACACACAAGAGTTCAAGGCCAGCCTGAACTACACAGCAAGACCATGTCTCAAAAAAACCTACATAAATAAATAAAGATAAGAAAACCAAAGCTGGGAAAGGTGAAGCCACTTGCTAAGAAGCCCAGGTAAGCTGGAATGCCCAGCTCAGGAGGGAAGGGACTCTCTGTTCATGGTCACCATGCCATTTCTGTCATTCTTGCAACAGGGACCAGATATCACATGGGGGTTAGAGCTGAACCCAAGTCTGCCAATGACTCCCTGTCTCACTGAGGCATAACGCTGATGCTCTCCCAAGAGCTCTCTTTCAGGCACAGACAGCAAGGGGTGGGACAGCAGCCCAGGGCTGGGTTCGCGGTGCCCCACCCACTCCCAGGAGCCCACCTTTGTGGTAAAGGAGCCAGCCCGGGCATAGTGGTTTATCATCTGATCCTTGGCAAGGAAGCGACAGTCCATCATGTCCCGTCGAGTGGTCCAGATGAGGTAGGGGGTCTCATTCCGAACCATGCGGGACTGGAAAGGAGGAGGTGGACATGGGGAGGGGAGCAGAGAGGAGAGAATGCTGCCCAGGAGACCCTGGGCACACAGCAGCTTGTATACAGTACAAAAAGACATGTCTTCCTCTGGGGCCCATGCTTGGGGAGCAGAGAGGCCAGCTCCACATGGCACTGCACAGCAACTAAGCTGTAAGGACATTACCCCTCGCTTTAGCCCAGGCCATCAGGACTTGACGGGTGGCAGGACACACTGCAAGGAGATGGCACACAGCATGTGACAAAGGCTCTCTTATGGACCCCACAGCTCTGTCCTTCCTACAATCCTGGGAGTAGGGATAACCAGTAACACCAAGAGCTAGGCCTTGCTAAGCACTTTCCATGTCCTGATCCTCACCCAGCCCCTATGAGGTAGGTATTACTATAATCCCCATCTCACCGGTAAGGGACGTGAGAGACAGAAGGTGACCTGCCCAATTTCACAAAGCTGAACCACAAAAAAAATGCCAGTATTCAATCTTTCCTGACGTGGAAACAGCAATTTCATGCCTGTAATCCCAGCACTCAGGAGCTGAGGCAGGACTGCTAGCCTGGGCTAAATGACTTCAAGGCCAGCCTGAACTACATAGTGAAACCCTGTCTCAAAAAACAAAAACAAGCTGGGGACATAGCTCAGTGGCACAGTGCCTGCCTGGCAAGTGTGAGGCCCTGAATTTGATTCCTGGCACCAAAAAAAAAAAAAAAAAATAGGGAGACCTTTTTAAAATGGGAAGGAAGAGCCAGGGATTTAGCTCAGTGGTTCTGCCAATTGCCCAGCAAGAGCTAGGTCTTGATTTTGATTCCTTGTACCAAAAAAAAAAAAAAAAAGCTAGAAAAAACAAAAAACAACAACAAAAACCAACTTCATAGGGTTCAACTCAGTGAGTAGCAGTGCATGCTTTGAATTCAACTCAAATGCATGTCCTCCATATTGTCACCCCAGTTTCTCCCAGAGCCTTCAAGTCCCTTCCTTCAGCTTCGCTTGCCAAGGGTAGAAGAGGAGATGAACAAGGAGCCTTCACTGGAAAGGGAGTCCAACCACACAGGGGATATGCCAGCCTATCCAGCCTTTGGAGAAGCAGTACATTTTTATACAGATGTCGAAACTGAGGCCCTAAGAAAGGACTTGTCTGAGGTCACTCAGCTGGACACCTGCACTCTCCTGTCTACTTCAGAAGCCGCTGCCAGCACCCTGCCTTGTTTTGGCCACTGGGGCCCTCACCATTAAAGCATGTGTCCCATCCAAGTCATTGAGCTCCAGAAAGCCATCCATCAGCTGTGGCGGCTGGAGTGTCTCATCCTCTTCTTCATCCTCTGTGGATACAGAGCCCAGGCCCGATGAGACCCTTGTCCCTGCCCCACAGCCTCAACTCTGGGACAGTGCAACAAAGGGAAAGGACTCCAGGGAGGAGGCTTTTGTATAGAAAGGGAACTGCTCACCATCCTCAGTGGTGTCGCTGTCACCCACCACTGAGTTATCCTTCTGCAGGGGCAGCAGGGCGGCGCCTGCGCGATGGACCATCTTCTTCTCCACCCAGCCCCTCCAACGTAAGAGACCCCGGATTACTGGGTATCGGCCTTGGATCATAAAGATCTTCTTCTGCTGTAAGGTAAAAGATGGAATTTTTCAATAATCATTGCCTGAGGCCCAGAGAGGGGACACAATGGTAAAGCACCTGTAGGGAAGTTTTATGGTCCACCAGGAGAGACAGCTTATAAACATGGAGAGAAGAAGTGTACATTACTAGAACCCCTGCAGTGGGTCCTGGTCTCCTGTGAGCCACAATAGCACAAGGCAAGTTAATGAAAGACAGAAAATGAGACTTAGAGAAGCTGAACTTTGGATCTGATCAATGCTGCTCTGGGCAGCAAAGATAAACGACCCTGAGTTTGTCTTGACATGCCATAGCTGGCCTGTAGGCAGGAAAACTAGGCCTAATCATAATTTAATTGTGAAATGATTTTTCCTCAAAATTATGTTGAATTTCTTCTGACAGTATCATGTTGATAGTAAAATAATATTTACAGATGTACTCAGGAGGCTGAGGCAGGAGGATTGTTGGTAGCCTATGTTACATAGTGAGTTCAAGGCCAGCCTGAACTACATAGAGAGACCCTGTCTCGAAAAAAAAAAGTACAGATTATACTATGTCATAGACACTTACATTCATTTCTAACAACAATATGCATGTTTAGTGGATATGGTACCTCTGTCTTACTGGTTATGAAACAGGGATAGAGATTAAGTAGCTTGCCCAAAGCCACACCTGTGGTTAAGTGAAAGAATAGGGATTTTTCTTTTGCTGGGGATTGAACCCAGAGTCTGGGAGACACTACTGCGAAATGCAGAGTGAGGGAAGGATGAAAGGAGCCACCAATACGCACAGGCAGAAGAAAGGGCATGTTCGAAGACTGTGGGGCTGGGTGGTATGCAGAAGGAACTGGAAGCAGGGTGGAGTAAGCAAGGTCTGGAGGCAGGAGGAGTTCCTGAGAAGAAGGCAGTGGCCGGACTGTGGAGGGCCCTGCAGACCCCAAAACCTGGACCTGGATTTTATACTATATGTAGTGCGAAGCAATAAACCCAAATGCAAGAATAACAGTCAGAGGCTTTGTAAATTTGTCTTGCTGCAATCTGTGAACAGGCTGGGAAACAGGAAGCCACTTAGAAGGCCCCTGTGATGTGGAGAGGCTTGGAGGAGGGTGGTTACAGTGGAGATGGAGAAGGTAGAGGGCTGAAAGTCACTCTGGGGGTTGCAGCCCCATAGCAGGTAAAGGTGATGAATGATTTGCTGATGGGATTGGAGAGGAGTTGAAGGAGCAGAAAGACTGTGGATTTCTGGCTTGAGCAACTAAGCGACAGGAAATCAGAGAATAGACAGGAATTCAGGTTTGAGAAGGAAAATCGGTATGGTTTGACACGTGAGTCTGAAGTGCCTGTAAGCTCCTTGAGTAGAGGTTAGAGGGCCGGGCCTACTACGGGGCGGAGGCAGAAGCCGGGACTTCTGCGTTTGGCTCCTGGAGGTTACCACGGTCTTTACAGAGTGGTTTCTGCTGAGAATGTGGTGGGAAAGGCAGGCAACCAGAGGAGCGGTAGCAGAGGGTCGAGTGTCAGCTGAAGAGGTGGGGAAGGTTGCAGACAACTCCCATAGCAAGTCTGGCCCTGGAGAGGGAGTTACTTGGAGATGGGTGTGGGGCCAAGGGCCAGGGGAGTTTTTCTTTTTAAGGATGTGACAAAATAGCACGTGGCAGGCCTGCCTCCCCCGCGGACCTTGACAGCTTTCTCCACGTGGATCTTGGCGTTTCTGAGCTGGCCCATGTGAGACGCCTTGGAGAACCCGGGCCAGAGGACCAGGGGCACTGTGGAGAGACGCCGAGAAGGGCGAGCTGGGGTCACTGGGCGGGTCACTGAACTCCTCCCTCCCGCCCACTCCCCAAGCAGCCTCACCGTCCCGTGGCGTGCCGTCGTCCAGGGCCTGGAGGCGCGCAGGCTCGAAGGCCTGGGGCTCAGCGGCACCCAGGGCGCGTGCACGAGGCCCCGGCAGCTCGGGGGCGCGGCCCGGGGGGGCGCGCAGAGGCGGGGCTGCGGGGCTGCCGGGCTGCGGGGCTGCGGGCCTGGCGTGCGTTGCCGGAGAGGCCCTGCCTTAGCCCCGCAGAGGCGCAGGAGGGCCCGGGTCCCCGCAGCCTCGAGTGCGACCGGAGCTCTGAGGGGCTTGCCCAGGGTCACCGGGCGGGGCAGCTAGGGCGCGGCCTGGGCGGCTGTGGCGGCCAGCTGTACCCCGCCGCCCTGCCCTGGCGGCACCAGGCGCCCGAGTCCCAGCTCGCGGGTCCCACGCCCCCAGCGCCCGGGAGCAGCACCACGCTTGGGCCCTGCATGCGCCTCGCCACGCGCCCGAACCGCCTCCCTCCGACCGACCGCAGCCTAGTTCCAGGCCCCGCCCCCTGCGTGCCGTCGCCTTGGAAACCATTTCCGGCACATCAGAAGCCGGCAGAGCGTTGGAGGCCGCAGCCTGGGTCAGTGGAGCGAGGGCTCCCCCTGGCACCCAGCTGACGCGCAGGGCATCGGGTCGCCGGTCAGGATCGCTCTGGGTTTATCGATGCTTCCTGTGTGCAATGATCTTGTGACTCGAGTTCCACCCTATTTAGTGGACTCTACTGACGAGTGGCCTAGGAGCTGGCAGTCCCTGACTCACCGAATTTACAGCCCCTGTGGGGCAGGGTAAGGGAACAAGTTCAGAAATAAAATAGCTACAGGTGTAACAATTGAATGAATGAAGCCGGGAAAGGGCGGAGATTCGCTAGTGTAAAAGGTAAAAATATTTTCAATTGCTCCATGTTTCATTAACCACTCTAATAAGCCCTTAGACTTAGCTCGGTCAACTATCAGACAAGGACACGCAAGCTGAACAAAGACGTACTCCACAGATAAGATTCGAAACAAGTTTCCCGAATCCTGGGAAGCCAACAAGCTAAAAATTAAAAAGAGGGCCCGGGATTTAGCTCAGTGGTTCCACTACCCGCCTCAAAAGCGCAAGGTCCTGAGTTCGATCCCCGGTATATCTGTATCTATATCTATATATATCTCCAAAACCTCGCCTCAAAACGACCAAAAACTAAAAATAACTAAAAAGAGAAATGGAGGGAGGAGGGGATAAGAAGGGAAAAGTGGGGTTGGGGGAGCAAAAAGTGTGGGATGAATCGCACTGTAGTCTTGAGGAAGTCTCACAACACCCCTGAAGAGGGGAAGACTTCCTGAGGGAACCAAAGGCAGGCAGTGGGTGAGGCTGGGAAGGTATTGGGGATAAAGCCTGGGCCGTACGTGGGGCAACAACACATGGTGCAAAGCACACCCCTCTAGGTAGCCTTCAAGAGTAGAGAAGTAATATACTGGAAGCTATGGTCCAGCCCCCTGGCTGAGACTGAAGGGACCTTTTTGGAGGCAGTGGCGACATACTTTGCTCAAAAATTATAGGGAGATAAGGCACCAAGATGTTAAATAATTTGCCACAAAATACAGTACAAGCAGCTCTGGAACCCAACTGGACACAAGTCATAAACACTTGTTTTTGGTTTTGAGACAGGGTCTCAATATGCAGTTCAGGCTGGTCTTGAACCATGTATCCCAAGCTGGTGTCAAACTCGCAGCGATCCTCCTGCCTCAGCCTCCTGAGTGCTAGGATTACAGGTGTGACCCCACGCCAGTTTAAACACTCTGTACGTTATGTACTGTTAATCACTTACGGGCTGCCTGCTGATCGTGTGCCACTAAACAGGCACTTTTCGAGGCAATCTCTAGCAGTGAAGCCAGCTTTGTCAGTCACTGAGCAGATCTGGTCTTCAGTGAAGGTGGGACCCCCACCAACCTGTCCCCCTGACCCCAGAGATTTATCTTTCCAATCCCCATGTGTCTGGTAACTATAACCCCAGGAGAGAACTGGCTGCTTTAAAATCTTCAAATTGGCTGGCGGTGGTGGTACACACCTCCCAGCACTCAAGGGAGGCTGAGGCAGGATTGCCTCAAATCTGAGGCCAGCCTGGGATTCATGGTGAGTTCAAGGGCAGCTGGAACAGCATGAGACCCTGTCTCAAAAAACAAAACAGGGCCGGGGATTTAGCTCAGTGGTGTAAGCACAAGGTCCTGAGTTCAAACCCCCATACAAAAACCAAAACCAAAACCAAAACCATCAAATCTGGTTTTAGAAACTTTGGACCCAGGGAGGCGGCTGTGTGACCCATCGGGTTCTGGCTGCTCACCCAGGCGGCGGTGTCCTGAGATGGTTGAGTGGCCAGTTGCCATGTCCTCAGGGTCATCCAGCTTTATGCCCAGCACCTTTAACATTCAAGTGCCCGAAGGTGGGCATAACTTAGCCAGGCAGGTCACAGAGATCTTGTCACAAAGGGGATGATAGCTGTTCAAGCTACCCCCAACCCAACCCCTCTTCCCTTCACCATTTCTTGTCCTCCCCTTTAAGAGACCGCTTGGGTAATCTGGAGTTTTTGGCAAGTTCAGCACAAAGCTCAATCCTTACTGAAGTTTCCTGGACACCCTCTCTTAAATCACCCCCCACCCCCAGATTTCTAGCAGTGATTATGAAACACTTCACTGCACCTATTTACATGCCTTTTACCCCCTCTCCCCATCTTTTCAAAGCAGACTTCATCCCCAATGCCTAGCGCAACAGTGGGTACCAGCGAGGACACTGACTTGCAGAACCACCAGCCACTGTTCACTCAGTGCCTGTGACAGGAACTGTGTTCAACCACTTTCATCATCTCTACTTTATAGATTAAGAAACTGAGGCACACCGATTTTCGGCCTTTTGGCTAAGATCAAGTGAAACTGAGGCACAAAACACAAATGTGCCCAAATTCAGCAGCAACAACAGTTAAGGACTCAAACACAAGTTTTTTGTTTACTTCAAGGTATCAATAAAAAGGTCAGCATTTCTAGAATAACTTTGATCACAGAAATATGTGCTGTTTTAGATGTTAGGTACAAGTCACTTGTAGCTACTGAATACTTGAAATGTCACCAGTGGGTCTGAGGAACCATATTTTAAACTTTATTTAATTTTAATAATTTAGCCACACAGGGGAAGTGATTGCTGCTTTAACACAGGCAGAAGTTTACCCTTCTGCTCAGACACTGAATAAACATGAAATGAGATCATTGTTTCTGAGGTTATCTTTCAACCTGAATGAGATTGTGGGAAAGCACCAAAGCTCCGAAGGCAAAGACAGCAAATTTCCAGAAGTGGATGACACTGGGACTGCAGAGCACAGGGTTTTCTGGGTTGGGACTTCCTCCAGGATACCAGGAGACTGATCCAAGATCCAAGTCTGTCTGATGGGGAGCCCTAGGCCCAAGTACCAGCAGCATGGCCTCAGGGGATGACAGCCCACCTCCTTTCAGTTCACACACACAGAGTACAGACCTCAAGCAGCCCCAAAGGGCAAGAAGAGACTTTAATTAGGGGAGGGAGGAGCCACCAGAATCAGAAAAGACAGCGAGCACAGGAGCAGAGGAGCCAGAGTAGGCAGAAGCCCCGGCCAGGAACCTGGAGGACACTCACCTCTCCACCTCTAGCACAGGCACTGCATTCACAAGACAGGCAAGACAGTGCCCTTCTCAGCTGGGAAGGCATCAATCGGCCCCTGCAGCCAGAGATGGCCTGCTTTTGGGCCCCAGCTCCTAGGTGTGGCTGGTAGTCACAGATTTGGCCCTTATCCCCAACCAGCCCTGGGTTACTATCTTCAGGCAGAGCTCAGGAAGCTGGCAGAAGGTTTCTGCCACTTCTACTGGACCCAAAGAGGATTGGGAACAAGAGGGCAAAGGAGAGATACCGGAGTCTGGAACCTCCCTCTCTCCCCACCTGGGGTGGCAAAGGGGAGAAACAGTAGTCACCTTCTGGCTCCAGGCCTGCCCAGACCCAAGGCGACCAGTAAGGTACACTCACTGGGACCAGTCACAGCCACTGGAGGTGGAGGTTGTTTAAAAAAAAAAAAAGAAAAAAAGGTTACAGTCTTCTACAAGCACAGAGTTAAATTTCAAGATGTTAAAAAACAAGTGTCCCAGCCCAGGGGACTGAACATCAGAAGGCAGCCTAACCAGGCACATGTGGCCTTGAGGCAGGTCCACGGTGCTTTCTTGTCCAGCTAGCAAGCACATCACCCCCTCCCAAATCTGATGCCCACCCTCCCCAGCTGCCAGCTGCCTGCCGCCGCCGCTGCCGCCGCCGCCACCACCGCTGCTGCTGCCACTCTGGGAGGTGACTCCAGGACGTCTATGCAGAGACTCGCAGAGACGCAGAAATACAGGGGAGGCTGAGGGGAAGGCCTCGAGATCCAGTCAAATGGTTTAAAACTGTCAAGAGAACCAAGAGCCAGTAAATGGTTGTTATTCTGTCTCCTTTGGGCCCTGCTCCAGGGAAGTGGACAATATGAGAGCTGTAAGCTACAGCTGTGCTCAGATCTGAGGGGTGGTGAGTTTGGGGCCTACGACAACCTACGGCAGGGACACCTAGTTCAGCTAACGTTCAGCAATGTCCCATAGGGCACCAGCTGTCAGCCTAGCACAGATAAGCAGAAAAGACCCTAGCCAGGTCATGGAGGCAGTCATACACCGTCATACCATGCTGGATGAGTGGGAGGTGTCTCCTTTAAGACATGGGGACTCACATGCAACGAGTTGAGGACTCGGCAACCCAGAGGGAGAGGGATCCAGGATCTGGTATGGTGTGTCAAGCTCTGGGTGATCTTCAACTAGGACAGGCCTAGTAATGCTTCTGCCCTCAAATATCCCCCATGGGGCCAAGAACAGTGACTCAATAGCTGAGGATTGAACACAGTCCAAAGACTGGCACACCTGGTGTTTACAAAGACTATGAAGCCAGGCTTGGTGGCAGATACCTGGAATCCCAGTGGTATGGAAAGCTAAGGAAGTGGCATCACAAGTTTCAACCCTGCCCAGGCAAGTTAAGAGACTTATTGAGCCACCACACATGGAAAGCTTCCTTTGTAACAGGTGATTTCCCTTAATGCCCAACCAGTCTGAAGGGTAAATATTAGTAGCACCCTCATTTCACAGCTGAGGAGACAGAGCCTAGCTAAGAGGTTCTGTGACAGGCCTGACTAGGCAGGGAGCCACACTGATGCCAGGGGGTCTGAATGTTCAGTCCTCTCAACAACTGTCTTGTGCAGAGTGCAGGAACTGGATTACTCCCATCCCCCCACCCCCGCCAGCAGACTCGGGTATAATCTCCATTTTTAGGAATCTGAGCTCCTTCCGGGTGGGTCTGTAAGCACTGGTAGAAGTAAACATCAAATGCACTGTCTAGGGATATGTTCTGAGTAGAACATATCAACAAACTAAAGACTGTTTGGAGAAAGGGGGAAAAATAAGAAGGCATGTCCTGAATCTCTAAACAAGAAAACTGTGTCATCAGTTTCTCAATGTAAATAATTCCTTGTCTCCAGAGGACTGCAGTCCTTTTGGTTAAAAAGACACAATTTCAGAAAAACCTAGAGGCCCAAAACCCTGAAAGGGATCAGAAAGAGGTTGAAGAAGTAGTCATCCCTTGGTGCCTGAGAAACAGATTTTGAAGAGAAATATTTAAGTCTGTGAGAAGTGGAGTTCTACCATGATTAATGTCCCGTACTCTGGAGTACTCAAAGATGAACCACAGGCCTTCCAGCTCCAAGGCAACAGGTAACTGGCCATGAACCAGAGGACCCAGCGGCCTAAGGAGACAGGAATAACCTGCTGGCACCACTTTCCTACCTGATGGTAACTAATTTTGCCACACAACTCAGGGTTCCTCTCACACCAGCAGGATACCAGGAAGGCCTCCACTTACATTCTTTTTTTTTTGGTACCGGGGATCCAACTCAGGACCTGTCACTTGCAAGGCAGGCGGCAGAACCACTGAGCTAAATCCCTGGCCCTTCCACTTACATTTTTAAGGAACTCTTCAGCCACGATGCGAGCACGGGCGTTGACTGACAGCTTCATCTCACTGATCTCCTTGTCAATTTCCTCCATGAAGTGGATCACAAAGTCCACCAACTTGTGTTTGTACATCTGCTCTGTGTGGAAGTTGGTGATCAGAAAGCTGATGTCATATCCCTAGAGAACAAAGACAAAGCTGGCCATATCCTCTACTCAACTACATGTATGCCCTTGCAGTCAGCAACCCATCCACTCTGAGGGGTGGGGTCTATGTTGGATACAAGCAACTGGACCCAGCTGAGAATTCTGTACATTATCAGATGTCTCCGGAAGACTGTGGCACAAATGGTCCTCCATTCAAAATGAGTCAGGGAAGAATGAACTGAATTAAAAACTTGTTACAGAAGAATTCAATCAAGGGCCAGAGATTCAGCTCAGTGGTTCTGTTGCCTGCCTCATAAGCAAAAGGTCCCAAGTTCAATCCCTGGTACCAAAAAAAAAAAATTCAATCAAACAATAAGGAACATTTAGTCCGCAGAAGAGATGATGGGAGAGGAGGGAGGACTGGGGTCTTTCACCACTGGAGGATGTGTAAGGAAGCAAATTTCATTTACACTAGGGGGCCCTAGAAGCCGAATCTAAGACTGGGAGGGAAAATTTGGCTCAAGATGAACTTGGAGGGGGATTTAGCTCAGTGGTTCCAGTGCCTGCCTCTCAAGCACAAGGTCCCAAGTTCAATCCCTGGTACCAAAAAAAAAAAAAAAAGATGAAGAACTTGGCCAATACCTGTTATCTGATGGTCTAGACCTCTGTGTTGGATATGGCAGGTCACTAGGGTTATTTCCACTTAACCTAGCAGGAGTGTGTGGAGAGGATTCCAATACAAAGCCAGCCAACAGCTGGCCCCATGTTAACTGAGGCTCTTAGAGACTACAATTCAACTGGTGGCAGAGCTGAGAAAAGCTTTCTAACTCACTGTGTTCTTTCTACGGCTGGAGCCTAGGTGCCTGGAAGATGAGCAACATACTGACCAGCTTCTCCCAAATTACCATTCCAGCCAACTTTCAGTCAGGGAAGGCGGCTACTGCCAGAAAGGCAGCAATCTTGGTTCAAGAAATAATTCTAGGCTACTCAGAAAGAATTCTGGCAATGAGGAGCATATGGATCCAGTGTCTTACCTCAACGGGTTTCCTTCGAAGGATAAAGAAGTTCTCTGCTCGCATCATCATAAAGCGCATAAACTTGTGGCATAAAATCTTCTCTATCTCATCAGCCTAGTAAGAGCAGAGAAGAAAGATGGTTCTCTAGAGCTGACATTCTAGGCCAGTAGTGGCGAACCTTTGGCACGTGTGCCACAGCCTGTCAGCATGCAAGCCAAGTCGCCCCAGCAGCCAAAGGTTGGATAACGGTGCACTTAAGGGCAATGCTGGCACTTTCCGATAAATAGGTGGGTTGCAGTTTACAGATTCACCATTGCAGTCCTAGGCCCAAATTCCTATAGCCCGGGACCCCAATGTTCTCCAGGCTTGATGGAGACAGTAGTTGGTAACAGAACAATCACTGCCCGAACTTTGAATTGTGGAGACTTAGCTGACAAATGAAGAGAGGATCTGCCTTAGGGCCCCTTTTAAGTAAGGAGGCCTTATTGTGATCTCTTCCTCACCCGTTCCAGAGAGGTAATTCTGGAAAACCGGAGACTTTTATCAGCTCTTTCAGAGTCCACACTTGTATTCAGAGGTGTCTTTCCCTTTCTCATTTCACTACTGCTGCACATCCCAAAGTGCATGTGACACACACCTCCTGAGGGGTAAGACTGCATACTGAACAATCCCCCAAAGGTTCTCCTTTTCCACTCTCTCAGCATCTCTAGGCAGAGCTCTGCAGCCAGGTGCTATATTGCAAGGAAAACCTCGCCATACTTCACATCCACTTCAGGAAGACAGCAGCTTTCTACAGGTAACAGTATCTAGTATGAATTTAGGAACACTGTTTGCCCTTATGTTTATTTTTAGTTACCCTCTATTGTGTCAAGTGATACTGTTTTTCCATTTAGGGCATAAAGTTTCTTTCTAATTTAAGTAAAAGGAAGTAAGTCAAGTTTCAAAAAACCTATTACCAGCCACCAGGGATTTAGCTCAGTGGTTGCACCGCTTGCCTTGCAAGTGCAAGGTCCCAAGTTCAATCCCTGGTACCAAAAAAAAAAAAAGATGTCCTGAGAATTTATCCCAATGACAAGAAAGTGACTAAGGCATTTGGAAATGATTCTGTGATCTGACACTAAGTTGGTTCTGTGGCACTGAATGTTAAGTTTCCTGCATTCTAATCCATAACAAGGCCTCTCAGATGGAGTTGCTGTCTCTTTTTTGGGTTTTTTTTGGTGCCGAGGATCAAACTCAGGACCTTGTGCTTGCGAGGCAGGAGGCGGAACCACTGAGCTAAATCCCCGGCCCTGCTGTCTCTTTTTATTCTACTGACCTGCTTTGGCAAATCATCTCCCAAGTACATTCAAGGAAGCAGACCCTAGGTTTTCTGGACCCTGAGTCTGCCAGACTCATTTCCTAGATGGAGACCTTGGCTTGGAAGGCAACTCACCTGCTTCACAGCAATGCTGACCCGGACAGAATTGATGGAGCCTTCAATCAGTACCTTCTCCTTCTCATTCCTGCTGATGGTGACGGGCTGTAATAGGAGCTCTTTGCTACTCCTGAGAGAGAACACAAAGTCACAGAGACCTCTGTATTATAGAGGGACAGAACAGCCAGGGCAGTCCCAAGTCACTATCCAAGACAGGAGGAATCCAAGGAACGAAGACTCAAGCAAAGATGGTCCAAGATGAAGGCCAGGTTGGATGTGCTCCAGCAAAATGAGCACAGGCTCTGGAGTGAGGGTGAAAAGGTTTTGAAATTCAGCCTCCTGTTACCTTCCTTAGGCAAAGGGCTGCATTAGATCTCAATTACCTCATCTGTAAAGTGACCCTGATTCCTATTTCATAGGCAAGAACTTGGAGAGATCAAAACGGGTCAAGTGTCTACTAGTGTGCCTAGCACACAGTGTGAGCTTTACAAAGACATTTGACTTTGAAAACCACAGACAAACCAATATACCTCTGAGGGAATCAGAACACTTACCTTAGCAATGAGGATAGCCTCAATCAAACAATTTGGCCTACTTTTTTTTTTTTTTTTAAGGCTCCTGGGGGCCAAACCCAGGGCCTAATGCATGCTAAGCAAGTGATCCACCACTCAGCTATACTCCCAGCCCTGAATTCCTTTAATTATCAATCCAAAATTATTCACTCATGGGGCTGGGGATTTAGCTCATGGCACCTCGCCTGCCTCGTAGGCGAAAGGTCCAGAGTTCAATCCTCAGTACCAAAACAAAAAAACAACAACAAAAAAGTTAACTGTGGTGGTCTGTAAGCTGTGCTCAATTTAAAATGCTAGTGGAAATCAAAAATGTTAATAACAGCACATTCTAAGGGCCTGGGATTTAGCTCAGTGGTTCCGACCCCTGCCTTGCAAGCGCAAGGACCTGAGTTCAATACCCGTACCAAAAACAAAACAAATAAATAACAGCACATTCTAATAGTAGGGGTTTTTTTGGTGCTAGGGATCAAACTCAGGTCCTTGCACTTAAAAGGCAGGCAGTGGAACCACTGAGCTAAATCCCCGGCCCTCTAATAGTAGTTTAAAACTTGAAAACAAACCATCATTTAATATGATGGATTAACAATTAATTAGTATGATTTAATAACATGGATTATTTGTTACATATGTTCCAGATTATATTTCAAAGGGGTGAGCCAGGAATGTAGCTTAGTGGTACAGTGCTTGCCTAGCATGTCCAAGACCCCGGGACTGAATCCCAGTTAACTAAAAAAAATATTTTTTTTAAATGAAAATGACTTATGAAACAAAATGAAAACTAGGTAAGAAGAAAACCATTCAAAATATGGAATATTGGGCTGGGGATTTAGCTCAGTGGTTCAGCCGCCTGCCTTGCAAGCGGAAGGTCTCGAGTTCAATCCCCGGTACCAAAAAAACAAAACAAACAAACAAACTATGGAATATTGGGATTGCCTTGCTGGTTTGCTACTTTGCTTGCTTTTGCTGTCTTCTGCTTGCCATGAACTATTTCTCCTCTGCAACACCCCTCTGCCATGCCACCCTGCCTTGGAACCAGCCAACTATGAACTGAAACCTCTACAAATTGTAAGCTCCTTTAAGGGAAAATAAAAGGAATATTTGAAGTAGGTGAGAGGATCCAGGGGGGGAAAATATCCTTAATCTGTCAATTAGAAAACTATTTAGAGATGGCAGCTCAGACTCCTTTTGAAACTTGCAGTGGGTTCACTAATGCCACAGGAGATAATTCATCAATAGCCCTGCTCTGAAGCAGTCTTGGCACCAGAGGAGCTTTTCCCCTGGGTTTTGCCCTGCCAATCCAATGACCCTATTTTCTTACTCCAAATCAGGAACCACTGTTCATCTGGCAGCAAGACAAAATACATCAACTAAAGCTGACCTGACAACCCCAGGATTCGGCAGCCTCTAGGCAGCAACTGTACCTACCTGTATGACACACCCTCATTCCCACCCTGACCCTTCCCTTCCCTACCTGACTTCCACCTCTGGCTTGTTGTGTCGTTCCACAACCTGGGAGGAGAAGTTCTCCAGGCAGAGGGCGGCCTGCAATGTGGCCCGTACGGCACTCAGGTAGGGGCGGAGAGTGGCAGTCTGTAGGAAAAATGCCAAGGGTTGGGAAGAATCAGAGTCTGTCTTGACAAACTGACCTGCCCCTGACCCCAGCTCCCATGGAGGCAGGCAGTAAGGAGGGCACCAGGCCTCAGACACCAGTGAACAAGACACACTAAGCCTCTGAGACACCTTTCAGACTAAGTTCAGAGAAGTGGTTCTCAACAGGGATTGACTGTGCCTACCCATGAATGTGCGGCAATATCAGGGTCTTTTTGATTGTCCTGACTTGTGGAGCCTGCTATTGGCGTAAAATCGAGAGAAGGCCAGGCATGCTGGTAAGGTCCCTATGATCCACAGGCCTAAATATCAACAGTGCCGAGGATTAGGAATTCTGGTCTAGAGACAGGGCACTGATATCCTTTACCTGCCTATTAAGCCAACATACGCACAGGTCTACTGTTAACCAGGGTGGGAAGTCAAAGATGAGTAAGATGCGCTGGGGATTTGGCTCAGTGGTTCTGCTGCCTGCCCCGAAATCAAAAGGTCCTGAGCTCAATCCCCGGTGCAAAAAAAAAAAAAAGATGAGTAGGGTCATCTCTACCCTCAAACAGCTCAACTAGATAGGGGATACACAATATAAAGGAAGATGAAATATGAAATAGTATTGTAAATAATCATATTGTGAGAAAAAACTGGTTTTGACTGGATATAGGATCAAGAGAATTTTACAATGAGAAAAAGTAAAGCTAGGATGTTCCCAGTAAAGGCATCAGTTTCAAGTTACATGGGTTAGTTTTATTACACTTTTACATTAGCCAAGTTCTTTCTCACTTCAGGGCTTTACACATGCTTTCTCTCTGTGCCTGAGTCAACCTTTCAGTGCTCAGCTTATTAGGGAAGCTCCCTCCTTCCTCAGAGTTCTTTCCAGACTTCCTATAATGCATTTATTATAATTTATAATGATGCATCTTTCACATGTCTTTTGTACAGTGATTTACGCCCACCAGACTACAAGCCTCACACTCAACACAAACCATGTCTACCTAATTTATACAGCTTGCACCGAACATATACAGTGTCTAATTTTCTGTAAAATGAAAAAATGAAATGACTTAAGCAATGATCAAGCCAGATGTGGTTGCACATACCTATAATCCTAGCACTTGGGAGGCTGAGGCAGGAGGGTTGAGATCAGCCTGAACTATATATAGTGAGATCCTATCTCAAAAAGAAAAGGGAGGGGCTGGGGATTTAGCTCAGTGGCATGCCTTGCCTGCCCTCGAAAGTGCAAGGTCCTGAGTTTGCTCCCCATTAACAAGAAAAAAAAGGGGGGGGGGAGAAAAGGAAAAAGAAAAAACCAGCCAGGTGCAGTGCAATGGTGCACACTTGTAATCCCAGTACTGGGGAGGCTGAGGCAAGAGGATCACCTCAAATTCAAGGCCAGCTTGAACTTTATAGCAAGATCTTGTGTCAAAAAAACAAAGCAGGGCTGGGGATTTAGCTCAATGGTTCTGTCGCCTGCCTTGCAAGGTCCTGAGTTCAATCCCCAGTACCAAAAAAACCACAAAAAAACCAAAAAACCCCACAAAAACAAAGCAAGGCTACATCATAAAAAGACATTAGAAGTTCCAGAAGTAGTAATGAGTACAAAGTTTCTATACATGAGAAGCACTTTAGGCTGTACAAATGAGACTGCTGTGGCAGGCTGGGATAAGATCATAGGGAATCTTGGACACAGGCTGAGTTACCACTTCTTTTAATGTAGCAAGAACTACTGGAGCTTTCTGGGGAGGAAGTTACATGACTGCAGCTGCATGGTGGCTCCGCAGAGATCAGACTGGAGAAGGAAGTGAGACATATCAAGAAGTGGTTATTAGAGACTAGGCTGAGTTGGTGGAGCAGACAAGAAGAAAGTATCATAGGGGTTGGAGTGACATTAGATGTAGAGCATAACAGAATCAAAGAACTACTGCTGGCCTGGGGATTTTTAGCTCAGTGGCACAGTGCTTGCCACAGTTCGATCCCTGATACCAAAAACAAACAAACAAAAAACCCCAAATCTACTCCCAACAGACTGTGGTCCACTCATACAATGAAATACTATTCAGCAATAAAAAGGAACAACAACCGACACAACACAAATGGATCGGAAATTTAAAAGCCCGCATACTAGTGATTAGGGCTAACTTGGTGGTACGATGTTCGCCTATCACATTCAAGGTCCCGAGTTCAATCTCCAGCACAGTAATTGTAATTTCTTTAAAAAACCTACATACTGAAAAGTTCTATTTACACGGGAGTCTGGAAAAGACAAAATGACATTTACATCAGTGGTTGTCTGAGAGATGTCAGAGGTGACAAAAAGGGACAAGAAAAAACTTTGGGGGTGATGAAAATTCTGAATCTTGATTATAACTGGTTACACGACTATTTTTTTCAACATTTACAGACTGTAAACCTAATGGTGAAATTCAGAGGGCCAACCAACGGGTCCTTTCACGAATGAAACAGTTTCATGAAATATCTCAATAAACTTGCATTGCTGGGTGTGGTGGAGCACACTTGTACTCCTAGCACTCAAGAGGCTGAGCCAGGAGGAACGCCATGAGTTCAAGGCCAGTCTGGGCTACATAGCAAGACCTTGTCTCAAAAAACCAAAAACATGGACGCGAGATTTAGCTCAGTGGTGCATCCACCTGCCTAGCAAGCACAAGGTCCTGACCTTGATCCCAATACCAAAAAAACAAAAAAACCCCACTTGGACTGCAACTTCAAGTCACACCTGAGCAACTTAGCTCTATTTGAAAAGAAAAAAGGGACTTGGGATGTAGCTCAGTAAATTAAGGCCCACAGTTCAATTACCAGTACATTTTTTAAAAAGGCACTTCTTCAATGAGTCAAAAAGCCCAAGTTTCAGATGAAGTATAAAAACACAAAGTTAGGCAGAATGGGTAACAAAGAAGGAAGAGCAAGTTTAGAAAAGGGGAGTTTAGAACTACAGGTGTAATTTCAAGGTATCTTCAAGATAGCCAGGTGAACCTCGAGAAAGAACTTGGAAAGCAGAGGACGGAGTCACCATAAAAGGTCATCCGATAAACCTGGAAGCTAGATAAGTATCACCAGAAAAAGCTCTAAGAGGGGAACGTGGGAAGCCAAATCACAACTCCCGGGAACGCCCAAATATATAGAACTGGAGGACTCCCAGGAAGAGAGAGATCAGCAGTAGCAGTTTTTACAGTGAGATCATCACAGTCTGGCTCTGACCAGGAAGGGACCTGAATGGAGGAAGGAAAAGATTCTTCACCCGGGCAGAGGCAAGGCTGGGGATACGGACAAGAGGCTATGGAAAAGAGAATACCTATATGGGGAAACTGGGGCCCAGAAGGCAGGAGAGGACGTGGGGGTCTGGCCAGCGGACCCCTACCCTGGAGGAGGAAATACCACACACCTCCGCGGCCCTATGAGGCCCACAACGTGCTTTCCAGACGCTATCGCAAGCCTGAGCGGTCGGCTCCCCAGCGCCTCAATGATTTTCCGTACCTGTCCCGGACCCTCGACCAGGGAGTCCCCAAGCCTGCCCCTCGCCAGGAGTCCCCCCCACCCTCCCATTCCTCTCTTTGGCCCTCCCTGCCCCACCCTTTCTCCCACCCTCATCGTGCCTGCACATCCTCTGGCATCCCTCGGCCCCAGGCCTCAGCTGCAAGACTGCATCTGCCCCAAACCCACACCCCTTTGGAAGAACAGAGTCCCTGGCCGGAGCCAGTTCTCACCATCGCGGGCGCTGGCTAGGCAGGAAAGCGGAAGTGCGGAAGTGGCCGGCGCGCGACGCCTGCCCGTTTGGGACGCGCAGCCGCAGTCTCCGCCCGGGCTTCCGGCCCGTACCATCTGTGTTCCGAGAAGGGACATTAGAGCCTAGCAACAGTGGGATCGTCAGGAAATGTTCACACTAGAACTATCCTGGTATTTTAAAAATCATAAAGGGACAGACTATTATTCAAACTCCTCTCATATCCATGCATTTTTCGCTTTGGTCTTCGGATTTTTGTCTTTAACTTAGTCTCCCCCCAGTCACGTAATAGTGCAGCCCGACCTTAAATTGGGCACCAAATTAGGACAAACCGAGGCGGAGAAGCCTTACGTTCCTTCCGGTTCTGAGCCCCCATCCTGTCTCGGTCCCTCCTCCCTGCCGCCCCCGGCTCGGCGGGTTACCTGCTCGCTGAGGTTCCGCCGCCGAGCCCCGCCCCCAGCCCGAGCAGGCCTCTAGGGCTCGCCCGCGGCCTGGCACCCTCTCGGAGGCAGTGGGCTTGCTCGCGGCCCGCACCCCCAGCACCCGCGAGCCTCAGTGGGCGCGCCCGCCGTCTCCCCGCCCCGCGTCCACGCCAGGGGCCGCCCATAGCCAGTTCCGGGGCGGTTTCTCCAAGCGACCCGAACTCCCCGCCCCCTCTCACGGCCCCAGGGCCGTAGGAGGCCGCGGAGAGGAGGTAGAGGGGCGGGGGCTGCGTTAGGGACTCTCTTTGGGACGGGGACCCTGGGGCGGAAACTTGGGGCAACCCACGGGTGGGGCCAGCCATTAAGCAGTCCCCCTTCTGTGCCAGGCACTGAACTGAGCTCTTGACGAGCAGCATCTCAATCCTCAGAACGTCCGGGGGAGGTAGGTACTGGTATTATCCCCATTTTACAGATGCACACTTACAATGGGGAAATATATCTCTTTTCCCCCATTTTGCATACAAAGCCAAAACTCAGGTTAATTAAGTTCAGGGGGACTTATGAGAAGGGGGCATGAACTGTCTGGCTGGCTAGCCTGTGTCCCAGACCATCTTTAGGGGCATGGAGAGGGGAAAGGGTGGAGTGGGGTGCGAAAGGAGTCCCAGGAGCACAGAGAGCAGTCAGAATATGTTTAACATCCAGAGGATTAGCAGAGCCTTGGAGAAGAAGATAAGGGCAGAGCATCAGGAAGACAGGCACAGTGGTGTATCTTGGTGGTCACAGCTGCACACACTAGACCACCTGGATTCAGGTTCTCAGTTTCTGTCTTTGTGAAAAGGAGACTATGGCGGTCCTAGCTCATAGGGTTGGGTGAGGAATTTGGTGAGCTGAGCTCTGCATCTGACCTGGTGTGCACTGGGTGCTCTGTGATTCCAAACTGTGCTATCAGCCTTGTCAGTAAGGGTGCCAAAGCATGGCTTTCTGGATTGAGGCTGTCTGCTGTGGAAGAAATCCTGGGACTTTCTCATGCCACTTTGTCTCCACCAGTGGCCTTTTCTTCAGCTCCACAGGGTCCCACCTCCTGGGCAATGAGTGAGCTGAAAGACTGCCCGTTGCAGTTCCATGACTTCAAGTCTGTGGACCACCTGAAGGTCTGTCCCCGCTACACTGCAGTACTGGCCCGCTCTGAGGATGATGGCATCGGCATCGAGGAGCTGGACACACTACAACTGGAGCTTGAGACCTTGCTGTCCTCCGCCAGCCGGCGCCTCCGTGTGCTGGAAGCTGAAACCCAGGTGATACCCCAACCAGGGGACATCACCAGGGATGAACTGAGTCAAGTTATGGGATGGGTCATTAGCTTAGCTCCATCTGCTGAGGTCGAGGAACTGATAGGAAGAGAGAGACTGAAACTGGGCTCCTGTAATACATAAAATGCACATGAGCAGGGCATGGTGGCACACGCCTGTAATCCCAGAACTTATGAGGCTAAGGCAGGAGGATCAGCCCAAGTTCGAGGCCAGCCTGAACTACATATCAAGACCCTGTCTCAAAAAAGGGGCACATGAATTTTCATGGTCCTCATCCTAACCACCATTATGTTCTGGGTCCTGTGCTAGTCAGTAGAGAAATGTCAGGACACTTTGGTCCTGCAGGGAACTTAGCAGGTAAAGGGAATGGGGAGACCTGGATTTGAACCTTGTCCTTAGGTACTTACTAGAGCTGCTATTGCCTATGTATGTGGCTTTAAGAAAGTTACCTTATGTCTCTGAGCTTCAGTTTCCCTACTGCCAAATTGGGCTGAACAATAGAACCTACCTTTATAACTTCTATGAGAATTAAAAGAAAAATTTTGTCTGGGCTTTGGTGGCCCATGCCTGTTATCTCAGCTACTCCAGAGGCTGAAGCAGACCCATCACAAGTTTAAGGCCAGCCTAGGCTACATAATGAGTGCAAGGCCCTAGGCTACTTGGGAGACCCTGTCTAAAAATCAATGAATGAGGATGTAGCTCAGTACTCCTTGGGTTCAGTCCTCAGTACTATAGGAAAAAGTTTTTTGCAAAGGCTTAGACCAGCGTCTGACACTAAGAAAGCAATCAAATATTATTTACTGGTACTATGATTATTTTTATTTGCTACATAAATGTCCCCTGAGCCCTGTGTGCCAGCCACTCTGCTGGATCCTACTCCTGGTAGGATGGTGAAGATGAGCATCCTGCTCTCCAATAGCTTATGGTCCACCTGAGCAGTACACAGGTGTACTGTTCATTCCAGTATGTCCAGCTATGAAATTGGGTCTGCAATGGGCACACAAAGGGCCAGGGACTTTGGAAGGAGGAAGGAGGTGCCAGTTCAGCTGGCTTTCAGTGGACAAATAGAATTCACGTGTAGTCCCTGGAAAGGCATGGAATCTTTTGAGGAGGGTTGTGGCACAGTCAGTTGTATTTTAGCATCTAAGAAGCAGGTAGCTGGTGGGGAGAAGGCGTCCCAGGTAGGATAATGTTTGAAGTGAGAGTTTGCTGGAAATACTGCTTGCCTTCACCAAAAAGTCCCCACCAGCATATTTAGCAGGGCTAACAGATGTGGGTGTCATCCCTTACTTCCATGCTACACAGTTTGTGGCTAGCCAGGGTGAAGAGAGGTGAGTCAGTACAGACAAAGTGAATGCAAGGGTGAGAAGTGTGTGAATAAAGTTCTGTGGGATGAGACAGGGCCACAGAAACAAGACTGAGTTTTGAAGAATGGATAGGAATTTCTTAAGGAAAAAGAAGATAGGGAGGGCCGGGGATTTAGCTCAGTGGTTCCGTGGCTTGCCTTGCAAGCGCAAGGACCCGAGTTTGATCCCTGGTACCAAAAAAAAAAAAAAAAAAAGGGAAAGACCTTAGAGCCACCTTGGATTCTCATCCTCCCTTATTCACTGGGGGAAAAAAGTAACCTGTATTTTCCCTTCTTCTCAGTGACAGTCTCTGTACGTTTCAGATCCTCACTGACTGGCAGGATAAGAAGGGTGACCGGCGATTCCTGAAACTGGGTCGAGACCATGAGCTTGGAGCTCCTCCCAAGCATGGGAAACCCAAGAAGCAGAAACTGGAAGGAAAGGCGGGACATGGGCCAGGGCCTGGCCCTGGGCGACCCAAATCTAAAAACCTTCAGCCCAAGATCCAGGAGTACGAATTCACTGATGACCCAATCGACGTGCCACGGATCCCCAAGAATGATGCCCCGAACAGGTACTGGGCCAGAGAATAGGGGAGCCAGAATGGGGTCTCAGGATTCTGGTATCGGAGGGTCGGGGAGCGTGCTGGGTTGAGGCTGGAGGGGCACAGGGTGCCCACTCTGCTTCTGCTCCTCTCTGCAGGTTCTGGGCCTCTGTGGAACCCTATTGTGCCGACATCACCAGTGAGGAGGTTCGAACGCTAGAGGAACTCTTGAAACCCCCAGAAGATGAGGCAGAACATTACAAGGTAGAGATCCTGGGCCTGCATAGACATAGAACCTAGGAGGCCAGAGGTGCCTCAGAATCATAGATAATAAAGCCTTCTTCTGCCTGCACCAACACCCCCCAGCCTCCTGTCGGCTTCATTAATCCATCCAGACACCCAGGCTCAAACTGTCTACTTCTCCTGGTACCACCTTCCTTAGGCCCCCACTAAATGGTCACCATAGCTTCAGGCATCTACACCAGTGAGGTACTCTTGTCCCTTCACCTCTGTCCCCTCTGCTTTGGTTTAGTCCCTCATGACCATTTATCCAAAGAGCTCTTAATATTCTCCCCACTTTTAGGTCTCCAGAGTGATTTTTCTTTCTTTAATATAGAAAAGTAGGGCCAGGGATTTAGCTCCATGGTTCCACCACCTGCCTAGAAAGTGAAAGGTCCCGAGTTCAATCACTGGTACCAAAAAACCCACCAAATATAGAAAAGTACCCAGGGATGATTGTGCACACCTGTAATCGAAGCTCTGAGAGGCTGAAGCAGGAGGATCACAAGTTGCAGTCCAGGCTGGGCAACTTATCGAGACCCTATCTCAAAAATAAAAACGAGCTGGGGTGTGCCCCAGCACAAAGGACTGTGTTCCGGCCTTCAGTCTCCTACCGCTGGGACAACAGGCATGCATCACTGCACCAAACATTTTTAGGTGTAAAGCATGCTTCTTTAAAGTGCATGTAGTACAGTTAAGAAGAGCCCCCCAGGGATAGAACTGTCCCATAGGTCAGCTGCCATCATCATATGGGCTCATAACAGCTTCCTGGACTCTTCTGGCTCCTGCTAGCTGTAGACTAAGTCTAAGTGCCTTTGTGTTTAGTGGAATGGCCCACTGCCCCTCCAGTTTCATGTGAGAGGCCCTAGGTTTAATCCCTGCCACCAAAAGCAAAAGAAAACAACAATAACAAAATTTCTTGGGAACTGGGGATGTGGTTCTGTCATAGAGTGCCTGCCTAGCATGCACAAGGCCCTGGGTTTAACCCCCAGCACCACAATAAAATAAACAATCCATGTAGAGAATAGTAAATTCAAGCAACACAAGAAATAATTCCCTCTCACTCCTGACCAGAGGCCTTTATTTTTTCCTTGCTAGAAGCAGTAGCTGTGACTAAAAATATATGAATATATCCGATTATTTTACCTATATCTTGGAAATTTTCCATATCAATTTCTCTCTGTGTTCTGGTTCTTTATGAGCCTAGCTCCCTTACCAGGAGAGTAAGTGTGGAGATTTTATCTCTTCTGTCCCTTCTGACCTGTATGTCCACCAGCCTTGGCCCTGGCCTAGGGACTAGGGAGAGAGATAAGTGAGTGACCCAAGGAGGAAGTGAGGGGAAATCTTGGCAGTGCTGAGTTCAGGGAGGGGCCTGCACACTCTAGAGCCGAAGGCTGAGGGACCTCCTCCCCACAGATCCCACCTCTGGGGAAGCATTACTCCCAGCGCTGGGCCCAGGAGGACCTGCTGGAGGAGCAGAAGGATGGGGCCCGGGCAGCAGCTGTGGCTGACAAGAAGAAGGGTCTTATGGGACCACTGACTGAACTGGACACTAAAGGTCAGTCCCTTCCCCCTGCCCATGCCAGGCTAGCACTTGAGTTCCTAGAACTTC